TAACTTTTTTTGAGTTTTTGGGATGAATTAAATATTGAAATTTTCAAACAAAAAAAAAAAAAAATCCGGGTTTTTTTTTTTTTTTTTTTTTTTTTTTTTTTTGCTACAACAATTGAATAATTCATTATTTACTTCAAAGGATCCAGCTAATTTAAAAATGACTATTACACAATTGTAAAGATAATTTCTTAATAATTAATAACCATAATACTTTTCTACATTTCATTCGTTATAAATTTACAAATTTTCTAAAATAAACATATCATTCAGTTAATGTTTCAATTAATGAGCAAAGATCATTTCGAATTTGTTTTGGCGTTCTGTTTTCTGTTTGATTTGTATTTGTCACAATATTCGATGGATTTAATTGGATTCTTGTAGTAGTTTCTTCATCTTTTAAAAAATTGTGCAGCAAACACATAGTTTTTACAACTTGCGTTGTTGTTTTTACGTCAAGTTCTCCAAATGTGTTTTCCACATTCACTCGCGAATGAGAGAGAATTTTATTAAAACGAACACGAGCTGGCGTGTTGGATTTACGATATGGTGTCATTATCTTAGATTCAAGTTGAAAACCACCATCAGCCAAAAATACATAAGGAATAGTTGTTGTTGAATTTGTATTATTCGATTCAGGAATTGTAATGAGATCTTCTGAAAGATTTAATTGATTTGTTTTTAACAAATGATAAAATTTACTTGATTTTAATACTGCACTATCGGACTGGACACCATTTGCACCCACGTTCACATATAGAAATTTTTTGTCAGAATAAATAAATAAAAATAAAAACAAAAATAAAATAAAACAATGACAAAAAAGCTCAGTGGATGATAGTGGCAGTGACTCGGTTGAATCTAATGTAGATCTGAGCGACTGCATCCATAAAAAGAATAATATTCTCATTGTTGTTAAGTAATTCTGAGCGGGCCATGCCGGAAAAACGAATTCTAATATCTAATATTCGTTTTTTGGTACGTTTTTTTTCATTTTTTTCTTCATCCGATGATGATGATGATGATAACCAGAAATGATAAACAATTTCAATTTGGTTTATTAAACATTATATAATCAAAATTTACGATTTTTCTTTTTGGAAAAATAATAGCTGAGAAGAATGATCCAGATATCCATTCTGGTCAATTTGAACAATTTTGATAAAAATATCAAACGCATTATTATTCAAAAATGTAAGATCAATAAAACTAGATCCTATATTTTTTCGATTGAATGATGGTTTTTCGGTGGTTATAATTTTTAAGTCATTTTCAATCATCATGTTATATTAACAATTGACCACGACGATCATTTCTTTTATCATTCCACAAGTTTTATGGTGAGCATTAAAGTCACCACTTAGTATTATTGCATGATTAGGATATTTTTTAAATATTTTTTTAGTTAAAAATTTTATTATTTTTTCAATTTTGCAATTTGATCCGATATATATTGAAACTATTATTAAATTAAAACTTGAAAGTTTGGCAAAAATTGCACAAACATCATTAACAAGATTATGAAAAGAAAAAAAAATTATGAAGAAGAAACACATTTGATACAATAATAATTTTTACAAAATGAGTTGAAAAAATGAAAGTTAGAATTAGATGAAAAAAAAACATCATTAGATATTGTTTGGATTTGATCAAATTCAATTTTATCATTTAAAATAACTATCATTGATTTTGAAAGTAATAATGATGGAACTATAATTTTTTTATTGTGGAATATTTGATAAAAAACAATTTGAAATTTTTTGCACATTTCGAAAATCATAAACAACGTTGTCAACGGAAGATCAAAAATCGAATGTTTTTGCGTTGAAAGTGTGAAGGAAAACGGAAAACAAAACGAAAAAAAATTCTGGTGGACTGCGCAAGCTCATTTCGAATTTTCTAAATTAATTTTCTAACACAATTGTGTTTGGTTGTTGTGTATAACGGAAAAAACAGCTGTTTTGTTCATTTTGTTTTCATTCATGGATAAAATAAACTTGTCATTTGTTGTTTTTAACGGTTTTTCTTCTCTAAATGTGACAGTTATATAGTTTTTTTTCTTTGATTGAGATGGAAAAAAACCTTGGAATCAACCGTTTGCAATCAATTTCATTCCTAAACGTGTGTTTGTATGGTTATGTACTAAATTATCATTGAAATTGAATATGAATTGATGAATTGTATCCATCGAAAGCCATCAACAAAAGCGAAATAAATTGGAAGTTCAAATAAAAATAAAGATAAAGATCATACGATTATAATCATCATTATGATTATTATCAACTATCTTTTTAATTTTATAATGTTTGATGTGGCCATGTAATACTGATTCAGCAATATTTTACATTGTCATCTATCGGTGAACAGAAAAGAACAAAGAATTTTTTTTTGTCAATTATCATCATTTATTATTTGAATTTCCGATTGTTTTGGTTATCAAAATTTAAATTCATAACCTTGTTGTTATCATCAAATCAAATCAATCAATCAATTTCCTTAAACAACATTTTTTTTCAAAAATAAACATTGAAGGGAAAAAAACAAGGGGAAAAAACTATAACTGAAATAAAGAAAAAGTAAATAAATAATGATTGACATCGTTGTCGTCGTCGTCATTAATCAATGATAATAGCAAAGATAAATGTCGTTTTTTTTATTGATTACTAAACATTGATTTAAACGTTACATACATCGATTGTAACCATCATCATTCGATTCGATTCGATTGGATTTTGAATTTTTGTTTTCTCCATTTTTCTTATTTCAAAAACAAAAACTTAATTTAATTTTCAATACTTGTTCATTTCATTCATTCATTCATTCATTCATTGTTTTCATTCATTGTTTTCATCGATTCCAATCTAAAAATATCGAATAATTTTTCTTAAAACAAATAAAAATTCCATATGATTGTTGACAAAGTCGTCAAACGATTAACATCGTAAATACGCAACAAATTAAACAAACTACCAAATAAAAAAAAAACAAGTTGTAAGTTTCTTTGACAAATATATTGCTGCTGTTGTTGTGATGATAATAAATGTCAACACACAACAGTGATTTGAAATGATTAATAATAATAATATTTTTTTCTCCATTATGATTTGTCATACAAACAAACAAACCAAAAAAACATTTCTTATTTCATATATAAATATAATGAATGTGATAAGATTTTTTCTTTAAATATTCCACTAAATTATCAATATTAACAACAAAAAAAAACATTTGGTTTATTGCTCTGAGAATTCCAATCCGAAAATGAATACCGATCAATGTAATGGTTCATCATCAACGCAGGAAACGAAAAAAATCGTACGTGTTTGGTGTGATGGATGGTAAGATTTTTTTTTTCTGTTTGTGATTCAAGAATTATCTCACTTCATTTTCTTTTGTTTTCAATAAAGCTATGATATGGTACATTTTGGACATGCTAATCAATTACGTCAAGCTAAAGCAATGGGTGATTGTCTAGTCGTTGGTGTTCATTCGGATGCCGAAATTATTCGTCATAAAGGTCCACCAGTTTTCAATGAACAAGAACGTTATAAAATGATTCGGGCTATTAAATGGGTAGATGAAGTTGTTGAAGATACACCATACATTACAACATTAGAAACATTAGATAAATATAATTGTGATTTTTGTGTTCATGGTAATGATATAACTGTTGATGAAAATGGTCTTGATACATATCGTTATGTAAAAGCTGCTGGTCGTTATCGTGAATGTCAACGTACTGAAGGTGTATCCACTACCGATATTGTTGGACGAATGTTATTAATGACCAAAACACATCATCAAATTGATTCGATGGATGAAAATGATCTCGTCAAACAAACCAAACAAACATCCGAACATGCTGAACATATTCGTCGTGATTCAACAACACATAGTCCATATACGGGAATTTCACATTTTTTACCAACAACTAAAAAAATTATTCAATTTGCCGATGGAAAAGATCCAAATCCAAATGATAAGATAATCTATGTTGATGGATCTTTTGATTTGTTTCGTAAGTTATCTATTTTTGTTTAGTTTATTATGTTACTTATTAAATTTCTGTTTTTTGTTTTTATTATTAATAAAAATAGATATTGGTCATTTGGATTTTCTTGAAAAAGCACGAGCAAATGGTGATTTTCTTATTGTTGGATTACATTCTGATTCGGTTGTAAATCGAACACAAGGTCGTAATTATCCAATAATGAATCTTCATGAACGTGTTCTATCAGTTTTAGCTTGTAAGGTATGTTGATCTTTGATTGTTGATTCGATGAAAAAAAAATCTTATGTTTTTCGTTTTTATTTAAATGAAAAAATAGTACGTAAACGAAGTGGTTATCGGTGCACCATATACAATCACCAAAGAATTATTAGATCATTTTAAAGTTGATCTGGTCATACATGGTAAAACAACAATAATGAAAGATTGTGATGGTAATGATCCATATCAAATACCAAAACAATTAAATAAATTTAAACGTATCGATAGTGGAAATAAAATGTCAACATCAACAATTGTTGATCGTATTATTAAGAATGCAATGCAATATACAATACGTAATTTGAAAAAAGAGAAAAAAGAATTGGAATTGTTTCATATGCTTACGAAACATTCATCATCATCATCATCGTCATCATCGTCATCATCATCATCATCATCATCGAATGAAAATTCCGATGATAATAATAATAATAATAATCTGGATGATGAAAAAGATGATAAAAATTAAATTACATTGAATTATTCATTTTCGTTATGGGTGGTAGTTTTTTTCTTCCTGTTATTTATTTATATATAAAAATCTTATTTTACCTAAATAAAATTGAAAAATAAATTCCGTTTTTATCTTTATTTTTTTTTTGTCGAATAATAAATGGTCAATAATTTCTTCAAGATTTTTATTCTTCAGATTCATTCAAAATCAATTTAGAATGGTGTTACAACAAATGAGAGAAAGAAAGAAAGAAAGATATTATTTTGGAATGAAAGCTATGATATAATCATAATAATATGATGTTGTTTTTTTTCTTATCAAAATTCAACTTATTAATGGATGTAAATTATGAAGGATTTTCTTATCGGCATGTTTATCAATTTCGCTTATTAAGCATTAATATCATTATCTAATGAATCAAAAATATCCATTATAATAAACATGAATGAATTATATGGAGTAGAATTTTTTGCCTGTTCAGCATTCATTTTCGGTGCTTTTGCATTCAGATGATCACATCTATCCGAATCGTTATTATTTTCACCACAGATTACGGCAATCATATTGTCAAAAACTCCACGTACATAATCAGTTAATAGTTCACGATAATCACGTGAACATGATCGTTCCATAATCCAATCATCTACACAGGTCATTGCTGATGCATAATTGCTAAAAATTTACAAAAAAAATAATTAAATCCATTAAATCAATAAATGATTATAAACTTACCAACAAATATGTTCCAATTTTTTATTACCAATTTTAGCCGAAATCAATGGTTTTGATTGATTTGAAAAACCAGCGATACATCGATCATCAAGTATAAATTTATTAAGACAAGGTCCAACCTTAAGAAATTGTGTTACTTTTTTTGATCTTCGTTTACGACATAATGTTCGTATAACATGTTTAAGTGAATAGATAAAAACATTAGCAAAATCTTGTTGATTTGTAAGGCCACATTCTTTGAAATAGCTTTCAACTTTGGCAATCATATCATTTGTATCACGACAAAACGTTTTCAATTGTACAACATTTTCCGGAAATGTACGACCATCTTTACCGAATGCCAATATTTTCGATACTGTTCGATCAATATCAAGTTTACGTTTTTCATTACATTCAGCGTTTACGGTGATTGATTCAATACTTATTACAAATAGTAATATTATTAGAAAAAATTTGGCAAACATTTTGTTGTGGTTGTTTTTTGCAAAAAAACTTAAAAACAATAATAATCTTTATTCAGTTATGGATCATAATTACCAGGTAAGTACAATCGAAATTTATTTATATACGAAATTTTTTGTTGTTGTTGTTGTTGTTGTTGTTGTTTTGATGTAATCAATCGATTCAATTGAACAAATAAGAAAGCCAAAAAAACATATTTCGGTTGTTACCTGTCAATGTTTACACATCACTTAACGACGGAACGAATTTGAATAAAATTCTTCAATTCTTTCCACAGTGGACAAAAACAAAAAGAAAAAAAAGAAAAATTGATATTCAGATGAAGTAAAATGAAATCATGATTTCACTTACCAAACAACCTTGATCAATCCAACAAACAAGCTTGAACATCTTACACATTTCAACAACAACAAAAAAAAATTAGTCGAATAAGAATAACAACAACTTTTTGACAAGTAATCCCCTTTTTTCCCCAACTGAATGAATGATGACAATCATAATGATCAACTGATCGATCATCTTTTGTTTTTGAAATGTACCAACATGATGTACATTTTTGTTTTTTCGAAATGCAGAAAAAAAAACCTGAATGCAATCCTTAATATGAATAGAATTATAAACATTTGTAATTCAAATAAAAATTTTCAATTTTTTTAAATTTATTATTTCATTGACACCATCCACATCATCATTATCATTAAACATTATCAAAATTGTTGTCGTCATCATTATCATCAACATGACCAAAACGAATGGTAAAATAAATAATAATTTTCTGTATAATATTTAGGCGAAAATACAATATTCTTGTTTTTGTTTTTTTTATTGCAACAAAACATTGATGTAAAACAATAACAACAACAACAAAGAAATTTCAAAACGGAAAAAAAACAATCTTTATGAAAATCAACAAAAAAAATGAAAGAAAGAATTTGCTTGATCGATTATGATGATGATGATGATGATAATGTGAAAGTGTTGATTAAAAGATTATTGTTAATGATTTTTTTTTTCTTGAATACACAATATTTCTGATCTAATTATTACAACAACATTTAGAAAAAAACAATGAAAACAACAAAAAAAAAATTATCAATCACCAATGGAAGATTCGAACAAAACAAAAAAATGTTGAAAGTTTCGAAACACACATGCGTACTAAAATTTACAATAAATATTCTTGTAACAGATATTCAATAATTTAAAAAAAAAAATTTACAAATAATTTTTATTTATTTTTGTTTGTTTATCATTCTACTATTATTAGTAGTAAATTATTTAATGTGATTATAATGTTATAAGATTATCAATCAATTCAAACAATGGGGAAAAAAAATTGATCGAATCAATTTGAAAGGAAGGAAAATGAAAATTGTAAAATGAAAATGAAAATGAACAACAATAAATTAGATAGATAATGAAAGAATGGAGAAACAAAGTGAACAATGCACGCACACACACACAGAGACAAATTGATGCAAAATTATTATTAAGATTTGTTGATTGAATGAAAAAACATTATCTCGGTTTTAAATTAATCCATTTAATACTGAAATGTTATTATCAATATATATAGAGCTATAGAAAATAATTTTTCTTTCTTTTTTAATTAATCAATTTGAATAAATAAATAAAAAAAAACAACAAACATGCAATGAAGTAATAATATCATTAAGACACACAAGTAAAAAAAACAAACAACAACAAATATATTCTGTGTTTGAAACAAGATGTGAATTTAAAAATTTGAAATGAAAAGATGAAAATTGCTATCACTTTTTTTTCTGTTTTGTTTTGTTAAAAATAGTTTTTCTTTTTGCTGCAAAATGTTTTTTGTATTCAAAATGTTTTTGTGGAAAGAAAATCTATTGTTGTTGTTGATGATGATGGTTAATGCTATGGAATGCCATATTAATAATAATAATTTTAATGATGATGATGATGATGAAGATGATGAACAAGAATTTTTCAATTTTGGTTTTCTCTGAACATCCCATATTTATCACCATTGGTTTTGAATTGATGATTGAAAATCATTATTGCACAAAACAGTAGTTTGAAGTTTTGAACTATTCGCGTTCTTCCATATGGAAATTTTTTTTTCTTTAATTTTTATTTGAATAAAATTCTCCATGGAAATTCCATGTTTGATTGATTGGTTGGTTGAACAGAGAGCAGAATTGATTTTTGGCAAAAAAAAAATTAGAAAATGATAGATACTATTTGTTCAACAGCAACAACAAAAATTGTTTGCTTGGTGAATTCTCGTTCGTGAATCAATTTCAATTCAAATTTCATCTTTGAAGAAGTTGTAGTTGTTGTTGCTGTTGGATTCCAAGTAAGTATCATCAAATTCTGGATGTTTTTTTTCTCTTCATTTCAATGACATCATCAATATCCAAGAAGAAAGAAAAAAAAATACAAAAGTTTATATAGGTGTTTTTGTGTGTATGTGAATTTCTGTTTTGTTTCTATAAATTATTATTATTAGTTATTGTTTATTGTTTATAAATAAAATTATAAATCGATATTGCTTCAAGTAATATTAAATTTGTAATTATAATTTTATAAATCATAATAATAATGATAATGATGACGTCAATCAATGAATGATGTCAGTGTGTGTCTGTTTATTACATGTAATAAATATGTATGAATGTTTTTGTTTACGAAAATCAAATTGAAAAGAAAAAGAAAAACAATGAAAAATGAGCTAATATAATTTAGGAAAATGAATGAAAATGAATTTCAAACAAGAACAGAAAATAGCTGGATTGTGTTGGGGAAAAATTAAATTAGATGAAATCAAATCAAATCAAATCAAAAAAAAAATTTGAAAAATGGATTTTTCATTATTATTATTTCTTGGTTGATTATTTTGGTGTGTTGTTGTTGTTGTTGGTAGATGTTGCACAAGAAGAAAACAAATCACTCTTGGAGAGAGAGAAAGAATGAATGAATGAAAAAAATCACAATTCGATGATATAATTTGCCAATCGAAGAAACACACACACAAACACAAACACACTTATGAATTTACAAAAAAAAGGCAAATCGCGATTGATGAAATGATGATGGTCAGTTTTGACGTTGTTGTTGTTGATTGAAAACAAAATTAATTAATGAAATTGATTTGCCGCTTTTTTCTTCTTTTTTTTGATTTGCCCGAATAAAAATTAAATGAAAATGAAATTGTACACACAACCAAAACAAATGTTGAGAAAAATTTTCTTCTTTTATCTTCCAAATTTCCAAGGGTTTGACCAAATTTTAAACAACATTCCAAGTATTGAATCGCTTGAATTGATTGATGCATTGCAAAATTTTATTGTATTTGTGTGAGTAGATAGGTAGGTAGGTAGGTAGATAAAATGGATAAAATTTTTGTTTTTGTTTTTGTTTTTGTTTATTATTTAAGTAATTTTTGTGCACGTTCATTTGCTCCTTGTATACGATTCTTATTCGATTCAGCTTTTTGATTAATACGATCTAATTGTGAATTTTGTGATGTAATTTCACTACCCATATCGATAGCCATATTTCTTAAATTACCAATCATTGTTGATACTTGTCCCATATTTTCTTCCATTTCATCTTCACGTGCATCTTTTGTTATTCTTGCTATATATGATGTTGTCATTGGACCACCACCATTACGTTCATCAACAACACGTGTTGGTTGTCCACTAACAATTTTACCATCTTCAGATGCTTTCCATGTACTTGCATCTTCTTTAAATTCTTTTGATCTAATTTTTTTTTGTTGTTTTGTTTAATTAAATTAAGAAAAAAAAACAAAAATTCAAAAATTCATTCCATTATTGTAATTACAGTGGGAGAAAAAAAAATGTTTGAATATTTTTCAAAAATGACAAAACAAAACAGTAATACTTACTTATTACAAGGACAAACACAAATACCACAACATTTTTCCATACCGGTTAAATTTTTTTCCGCTTCACGCATATCGGTATTAATTTTATCCATATCTTCTTCAATATGATCTAATTGTTCACCTTGTTCATCCAATGCAACCAATGTACGAATACCGGCTTCTTTGCTCTAAAGTGAATGAAAGAAAAAATTAATTAATTATGAATGAATGAAAAACCAAAAAAAAAAAGAAAAAATCGTGTTTAAGAAAAGAAAACTTTTTCATTCAAAAAAATTTATTTATACCTCTTCACAAAGTGCCAACATACGTCTTGTTGATTCAAGTGATTCATCTGTCGCTTGATTTGCTTGCATTTGTATTGCTTCAAGTTCGGTTTTCGGCTTTGCCGGAACCGGTGGTTCTTCAACTATTGCAGCAGGCATTTTTTTGGATTATTTATTTTTTCTTCTTCTTAGAATTACCGGAATAATTAAAAAAAAGAAATTTAAATTTTCAAATAATTTATTAGTGGTGGTGGCGGAGATGATGATAATAATGATGGGCACTTGAATGAAAAAAATTTGAGGAAAATCGCTGTTGTTTACAATAAAGAATTGGATTCAATCGAAATTGATTTTCATTGCAATTTCTTTATATCACACCAGAAAAAAAAACTTATTGAAATTTTTGCAACAGAATCTTTGAATTAATAATGAATCAATGTTTCCGGATGTTCAATTAAAAGAAAATTGAAACCAAAACCAAAACAAACAAACAGAAAAAATATGATCAGTAAGTAATCAAAGAAATGATTTTTGATGAAATGACGTATGGCCCAATTATAAAGAGATTATTATTATTGTTTTGTTTGTTCGTTGCTTGTTTTTCTTGTTGTTGTTGATGATGATATTTTTGTTGATATGCAAATTTTTATTGATGAGATTGATTGAAAATTCTCACGAGAAATGTTATGATTAAAAAAATTGTGGAATATTATTTAGTTGTTGTTTAGTCTCCCTCAAACGAAAGGAAATTAATGATTTAAAATTATCGATCAGAATATGAATCAGACACACACACACAAACAAACAACAACAACAACAACCGAATCAGAATGGAAACAAAAATCAAAACGGAGAAACAAAACAAGAAACACTTTCAATAGATAAATATTTGAGTCGATCAAAAAGATGTTTGAATTATTATTGGTGAATGAATGGAAACAAAACCAAACCAAAACCAGAAAAACTTTGGAACTAGAATATCCAAGAACAACAACAACAACTATATATGAAAAATATTCAGGGACACTTTCGTCATGATTCTGTCTATATATGTCTGGTGGTGGTGGTGGTGTAGTTTTCCCAAAAATAAAAAACTTGGATTTTTCCCCAAAATTTAACCATCTGTAATATTGATCATCATCATCATCATCATCATTTTATTACAGAAACTAAAATAAATTAAAAAATACCACTACAACAACAACAATTTGGTTTCTCATTGTCCAACAGCATAAATACATCTGATCATTATCATTATCATCATCATTGACGCCAACAATTTTTTTTCCTATTATAATGATGACTACTATTTAGGAACAAAATATTTTCTTCCCATTTTTGGGAAACAATTTTACAACAGAAGCATTTACTGTAATAATATCGTCAAACTATTGAATTCTTTATTTATATAGGTGTGTATGGTATGTTTCGAAATTAATGAAAATGTTCACCCACACGTTCACACACATTCAGTTGCTTCTTCCCAAAAAAAACAAGCATTTTTCCCCCCTTATAAGATCCAGGATCATTTATTCGCATGCTCTACATTTTCCTTAAATTTTTTTTTGCTGGTTCCTATAGTTGTTGTTATTTTTTCAAATGTATGTCGGGATAACATCGTTTTCTTTTTCTATTTATTGTTTAGTTTATAAAAGAACAAGAAAAAACCAAATGTAGGAAGCATATTTGAATGTTATAATGCTATATTCACACCCATCATCACCATCACCACCACCGCCACCATCAGAAACATATTAACAAACAAACAAACATACACCGTTTAATAAAATAGATCGACATTTGACATTGACCAAGGATTTCATAATATCCGAAACAAATATTACCGAGAATACAATCCATAAATCCATAAGAATCTAACAATACTATTTTTTAAAAGAAAAAAAGATTATCAGAGATCAGTATTTATATGTCATTTATGATGAAATAAATATGTTCAATATCAGAATGATGTTTTGTATAATCAGATAAAGAACAGATCACATATCAGAAGAATTAGAAAGAAAGAAAAGAAAATCTGTGTAGGAGGGAAACAAAAACAAAAGATTATTATTATTTGATTATGATGATGATGAAATGTTACTATAGAATTACAAGATATAGATTCTATTCACACACCATCATCCATCCGGAAAGCAAAATAACCAGAAAACAAAAAAAAACTACATTAATGAAGATGTATTTTATTTTTTTTGATTTTTGGCGTTAAAAGCAATTCATTCTCATTATTATTTTGTTATGAATAAATAGTTTGATCATGATAACGTGTTTTTACACGTATAGGTAATTGATCCATATTCCAATTATTTTGCCGGACTAATTGTAATAGAAAATTAACACGATCAGTTGTTTTACTCCATGATGAACGATAGGCATTATTTTTTGGCATTAATAAAACATTTTTTCTTATTTCTAAAAATTTTTCAATCCATTTCGGTTCATTATTTTTACCAGTTACTGGACCATTCATTTGAATTTTTGTTCGATTTAATATAGCATCAAATGAATCATTATCATTTCCACCACCATGTTGTATGATTGTATCATATAATGAACATTTTCCTAATGCTGTTGTTATATTCATACGTTTAGCACCATTCATTGCTGGTCTATAATTTTTTTTGGGAAGAAAGAAAAATAATGGAAAACAAAAATCAATTAAACTATGGGGTTATAAATTAATAATGAAGAAAAACATTTAAAATTTTTTGCCATACACATAATATAATAAATCATTAATATAATCTTGAAATTGACGAAATAGATAATCATTTGATGCTTGTTTCCATGCTTCACAATAACCATTCAATTGATTTATATTACCATTACCGATCGAAAGACGTTTTAATATTGGTATAAATTTTGCTAATGGATTATTTGGTTTATATGCTGTATAATGGATGATTACATTTAATGCATCACCACAACCTGTACAAAAACCGGCACGTCCTGATGTATAACCACGACCATCAAATATATTTTCACAATAACTATATTGTAATTCGGTTGTATCGTTTTCAAATATTGATGTATATTGTTCACAACGATGTTTTTCAATAATGGTCATTTCGGCCATTACATTAGCCAAAAGAAAACCGATAATAAATGTGGCTGAAAATTTCATGTTTTGATTTGGATTTTTTCGAATCAAAATATAAGAAATTGATTAATTTAATACTTTTTTATTTCGTTTTTACTTAAGATTTTTAATATCTTTTTTTTGTCGCTTCTGATTATCAATATCATAACGAAAAAAAATTGATATTTCTTATGAATGATTGTGGTTGATGTAAAATAAGGCAAAAAACAAGAAGATTGTACCCGATTCCGGCACATTTTATCCATGATAATTTAAGGAAAAATAAAAAACTGATTAGCAAAATGAACATTGTAAACAAAAAAGATGAATAAAAATCTTTATCTATGTTTAACCATGAACAATATTCATTCATCTGTCTGTTTATGTGTCATCAAGACATTCGCTTTTTATATACTACAATATTAATTATTTAGATTCTTTTTTTGTTATATTCATTGTCCAAAATTGATGTTACATTGAAAATAACAACGAAAACACATACATAAAATGCCGAAATAAAAAGAAAAAAGAAAGAAAGAATTTCTTTTTTGTGTTTACGTAGGCGTAAGAATCTATTAAGGCAAACAAATAAATAATAAATGAAAATGGTTCCAAAAAATTAGTGGAATTTTTATTTCTGTTGTTATTCGAAATACAAATAAAATTGTAACGATGCAACAACAACAACAACAACAATCATAACGTTGTTGCAATAACATCGGACATTTTTTTCCGGTTGGTTTTTACCGGATTTGATTGATCCATTTTGTTTTTCATTTTATTTTGAAACAAAACTTTCGACTAATGATTACCAGGAAATATTTCATGTCAAAATCTTCTTTTTTTTGAAATGGACAACAAAAAAGTTATTATAGAATTTATTATTTATCATTTTCAAATCATTTTTATGAATAAATATTTAATGATAAAGACTGTGGATTGTTTACATGATGATGATGATTATATTCAATTTAAAAAAAAATTTTCAAAAAAAAAAATTTCAAAAATTTCCGATAAATTCCTATATTAGTAATGCCATCTATGGATTGTATATTCATTTGTTTCAAACTATCGATTGTATTGCATCGAATGCATAAATCGATATATCACTGTATGTGTATAGAAAGTGAGACAAAAAAGTCCGCGCTTTTTTTTTTCGTTGTTCACTCGATTTCAATCTTTGTCCTTTTGAATTTTAATTTGTTTCATCATTTTTTTTCCAAATCATTTTTTTTTCATTGAATAAAATCTTCATTTCATTTTAATTCCATATAATGAATTTACGTAATACTCCATCACGTTCATTATTTCTTGAAAGACAGAAAGCCAAATCGGCAGATATTTTGGAAAGAAAAAAACCTTCGATTTGTTCAACATCTACAGGCAATGGAAAGAAAAAGGTTATTCGATTGACCATGTCTGTGTCTAAAGCTTCAACTAATCGTAAAATCGGTGACACTACACCTATTAAAAAATCTAACAAAAAAATTCCGATTGAAAATTTGGACAAACAGCTTGATATGATTCAATCCGATGTAGAAAAAATAATATCGGATCATGAAAATACATCGCCAGTAGCCAATAATAAAACTATGACAACTCTTAATCTGGATGAAAAATTTGTATTAACGAATCACATCAATGAAGAACCAACATCCCTTTTGTCAAACTACGATTTGCCAAGAGTGTGTAACAACGAAAATATGGTTATTCATCATTCGAATGATCAATGTTCAACTGGTTTTTCCAGTAATCCCGAAAACAATAAGGCAAGATCTTTATCCCAGTGTACAAATTCGGCTGATGAACGTCATTTAATTGTTCGACCTAACCTTCAACTTACCAATCCGAAAAGAGTATCAGTTTCATTGCAAAATGATAATCATCAAATAATTTCAACAAATAAACGATTATCGACTGGCATCAAAACAACAAAAACCGTAGAAAATTTTCAACAGAAAACAATAATTCAATCACGACAATCATCTTCACATCAGATAAATGAATCATCTCGAGATTTAGTTAGTTTTGACAAAGATTATTCAACTAATTTCATTCATGCAATGCTAGAACAGCAACGTCTTTCGAATCATTTTGAAAATAAAGATTTTCAATATTATTGTTTGGAACAAACAATCAAAGCAATTACCGATAAGGAAAAATCATTCCATGCTCTGGAAATGCTTTACAGAGAAGTTAATTTGGTTTTCGAAGGGAATTTATTACCTTTAAATGATAGATTTCATCCATTATTCCTATTCGATAAAGATATGGAACCAATTTTCGAATTCTATATTCTAAATACAAGATCTCCTTCTTCTCGATTACCATGTTCTGACAATCGAATTCTTAGACTTTCTAAATTAATCTATTCATTTGTTTGGAAATTTCATACCAATATTTCCGAATAATTTTATCAATATTTGACCTATGACTTTTTTGATCAATTCTTTTTTTTGAAATAAAATATTTTCTAAAAAGTAGAAGCTTTCCGTAAATATTTTTTGCAGAAACTTTTCGGCAATTCACTGAGAGAAAAATGTGGTTTGCACACGCCAATTTTTTTTTAGGTTTGCACGCTAGTCGCTAACACATTTACATGCTTTTTTTGTTGGCGTGCATACATCAATTTTAGCGTTATTACGTCACCCAAATTAAACTTTTTCTCACTTTTCTTTTTCCTTTTCATTGCTCACGTTGTTTTGTGTTGTTCGATTTTTTCTAGTTTTTTCACATTCGAATTTTTTTCAGATTTTCAACCAAGAATAGTGAAAAAAAATGTCAACAACAAAAAAGGCAAATCCGGCTATGCCGGATGATCTTTCCAATGTAGAATTTGAAACCAGTGAAGATATTGAAGTGATTGCAAGTTTTGATTCGATGAATTTGAATGAAGATTTACTACGAGGCATTTATGCATACGGTTTCGAAAAACCATCGGCTATTCAGCAACGTGCCATTCGCCCAATAATCAAAGGTCGTGATGTAATTGCACAGGCACAATCTGGCACGGGTAAAACGGCCACATTCAGTATTGGTGTACTGCAATCAATCGACATTCAAACACGTGAAACTCAGGCATTAATTCTTAGTCCAACAAGAGAGCTGGCATTGCAAATTCAGAAGGTTATACTTGCTCTTGGTGAATTCATGAATGTTCAATGTCATGCCTGCATTGGTGGACGAACTTTGAGTGAAGATATTCGTAAACTAGATTATGGCCAACATGTTGTCGCCGGAACACCAGGTCGTGTGTTCGATATGATTCGACGTCGTAATCTTCGAACACGATCCATCAAATTATTGGTATTGGATGAAGCTGATGAAATGCTGAACAAAGGATTCAAAGAACAAATCTATGATGTGTATCGTTTTCTTCCACCATACACTCAGGTCGTATTATTATCAGCTACATTGCCACATGAAATCCTTGAAATTACTTCGAAATTCATGACCGATCCGATTCGTATTCTGGTTAAACGTGATGAATTGACACTGGAAGGTATAAAACAGTTTTTCGTTGCTGTCGAACATGAAGAATGGAAATTCGATACATTATGCGATCTATATGATACGTTAACCATAACACAGGCCGTCATTTTTTGTAACACTAAACGTAAGGTCGATTGGTTGACCGAAAAGATGAAGGAGGCAAATTTTACTGTTTCATCAATGCATGGCGATATGCCGCAAAAAGAACGTGATTCAATCATGAAAGAATTTCGACAAGGCAAAAGTCGTGTATTGATTACCACCGATGTATGGGCTCGTGGTATTGATGTTCAACAAGTATCCCTAGTCATCAATTATGATCTTCCAAATAATCGTGAGCTATATATCCATCGAATTGGCCGATCTGGTCGTTTTGGTAGGAAAGGTGTGGCAATAAATTTTGTCAAATCGGATGATATCCGTATTTTACGAGATATTGAACAATATTATTCCACGCAAATCGATGAAATGCCGATGAATGTAGCCGATTTAATTTGAAAACAAAAATAATCCTTTATCATAATCAACAACAACATTCATTGTTATAATCATTTAATTTTCTTTCATTCTTAATTGTATGGTAGTGGAAGCTTTTTTTTGTAAAAACAATTTTCATAAAATGTATCCTAAATAAATCATAAATAATTTTCGGAATATAAATCACAGTTTAAATTCCTGTTCAGCACGTTCAGCAATGACACGAGCAATAGCCAATGATGAAGTAGCAGCTGGTGATGGTGCATTACGTACATGCATCACTCGTCCACTATTAGCATCAAATTCGAATACAAAATCATCGACAAGATTACCATTTTCATCAAGAGCTTGTGCACGGACACCAGCAACATGTTTAGTTAGATCTATATCATCTTTAGTTATGGATGGAACAAAACGTTGAAGTTTTTTTAGTTGAGCATTTACTGATAAACTTCGATACATTTCATCGATACCGGCGAAAAAATATCTAAATGATAGCCGTAGAAAACCGGGAAATGTTGCTGTTTCGATAAATTCCATTAGATTAAAATCTCGATAACGATAGCCTTCTCGTTTGAATGCTAAAACTGCATTCGGTCCAACCCAAATACTTCCATCCATTCGTGGTGTAAAATGAACGCCTAAAAATGGAAAACGTGGATCTGGAACGGGATAAATGTTTGTTTTGACCATATCCGATGATTCTTTACGTAGCACAAGATATTCGCCACGAAATGGAACAATTTTGGGAATTTTTTTCCCATTAGTCAATTGAGCAACTTTATCGGCATATAATCCGGCAGCAGTAATCACATATTTTGAACGAATTTGTTGTCCATTTTTCGAAGAGATGATGATCGGATAATTGTTATCCGAATCATTATCAGATGATTTTGTTTTTAATTCAAATTTTATTACTTGAAATTGATTGAAAATTTTTCCACCTTTTTGTTCGAAATCTTTTCCATATGAACGATTCACTTGTCCCCAATCAACAATACCAGTGTTTGGACTCCAAATTGCAGCTAGACCAACACATTTTGGTTCGATTGCTTGAATTTGTTCAATAGATTGTAACAATTTAACACCTTGTACCTGATTTTTAAGTGATCTATCATAAAGTTCATTTAAACGTTCCACTTCCAATGCATTACAGGCAACAATAAGTTTTCCAACACGTTTGTATGGAATTTTTTTATCATCACAATATTTATATGCCATTTGACTTCCTTCAACACATAATTTTGCTTTTAATGATCCTGGTTTATAATAGATACCTGCATGTATGACACCAGAATTATGACCAGTTTGATGCATTCCTAATTCATTTTCTTTTTCTAAAATGGCCATACGTAATCCAGGTCGGCTACAAAAATGAATCAAGAATTTTTTTCAGAATAAATAAATTCCAAAATGAATAAAACTTACTTTAATAATAATTGTCGAGCAGTTGCCGAACCGACAATACCACCACCGACAACAACAACATCGAAACAATGTTCATTAACATATGAATGTGCTAAACGTAATCGAAAGAATCGATTTAATTCCAAAAAAAATTTATCATAATGAATCAAACTGGATGCAAACAAATAATTTAATGTCGACATTATGATGAAAAATTTTTATTTAAAAAAATGTTTATTATTATAAATAAAATTCATTGATACCATTTTATTAAATGATGTTTTTGATGATAAAATTTATTTGATATTTGAAACATGATATATTGTTGTTTGCATTATCATTTTTCTTTAACACGTTCGCTACCAGCGACGCATATATGCGTCGCCCATTTGCCTTATTTCAATGTGTTTTTTTAAAACTCCGGTAGCGAACGTATTAATAATGAAAAAACATGTTGTGAATGTTTATGTTTATGTGTATGCCATTCATGCATATGTATGCACATGGAGGATTTCAATGGATAAAATGAGCGCAGAATCTTTTCTTTTTTTTTTGATTAATAAAAGTTTAAAAAAATTTCTTCATCTTTGTTAAGATAAGATTACTATTCAGAACTCTTATCTTTTCGAGCTTGTTGTTGACAATGTTTAGCATAATCACAGAAATTTTTCTGTGCTTTAGCAAGTACACCAGCATTATCGCCATTAGAATCCAATTCTTTAATAAATTTATCAATACGATTTAACCATGAATACAGATTTGGATATTGACTTAAATCAATCAATTCTGGAGTAGCTTCACACATAATCAACGTAAAATAGGTGACCAAATCGGCTAATGTTATTTCGGATCCACCTGCCAAATATTTCAATTGTTTTTGTTCAAGATTTTTTTCAAATTCGTTCAATACTTGAATGAAACGTGGAAGTTTTTCTTCATTAGGTAAACCTTGTCCAGATTTGAATATGGGAAGCTAATAAAAAAAAAAATAAATGATAAAAAGAGAATTGAGTAAAAAACAAACAAACATCAACTTACAATAACATCACTCATAGCACGAAATAATGTACCCAATTCATAATCCATACAACAATTAATGATTGCTCGTTTTCGAACATCATTCAATGGATATAATGGAGATTCTGGTTTATTTGTTTCGATTATATAACGAGCAATCGAACGTGATTCATATAGATAAAGATCTGGTGGTTCAAAATAACCTGGAATCGTATGAAATGGATTGATCTGTAAAAACAATGAATTAATTAATTTTACGATAAATCAAAATAATTACAATTAACAAAAACCTTTAAATAATCTTCCGATGTTTGTTCCGATTTTGTTAGATCAATCAATTTCCAATCAAAATCTTTAAAATCAATCATTTTAGTAACAACATAAACAGTACGACATGGTGGACTTTCAGGCATCCAATAAATTATCGGTCGTATTTTAGCCATGATTTTGATTTTATTTGCTTACAAAAAAAAACTTTCGAATGAAAAATTTCAATTCAGATCAAACCAAAGAAAAATCGTTGAAAACAAATATTTATATATACAACTGTTTAAAATAAAACAAAATAAGAGTAAAAATTTTAAAATTGATCGAAAAATATTGATATTATTAATGATATAATCAACATGTACACACACACACTGACGCAATTTGTAAAATGTATGGCAAAAAAATAAAACAATTCAAAATTACAAAAATGGTTATGATTATTGTGTGATGATGATGTGAACTAAGAATGTAGATTATTCTTTAACTATTTAACTAAAGTTGATAATCCATTGATTTACATGTGTTTTTTTTTGGTTGTTTGATTGCTGTGCAATTCATGAATTCATAACCTGTTTATATAATAAATAACAAGAATGATAATACAACATCATCTTCATATATTTCAAAAAGAATTTTTCTTTTTTGCAAGGTTAAATTTTTTTTTCTACTTTGGCTTGCAAAATAATATAGATAACCATACACTAAAGAGGTAATGCACAATCATTGAAAACCTTGAATATACAAAAAAAACGAGAGAATGGATTAAGAAAAATCATGTTACAGTTAACGAATCATCAAGTTAAGGTATTTGTTTTGTTTCAATATAAGAAAAAATGTTACTGAAAAACTAGTCGATGATATGATTTTTTTTGGTTTAAATAGCCCTTTTACCTATTCGACACCTATAGAAGAAAATATCAAACTAATTTTGCACTAAAAATGAACATTGAAGGTTGATTATTTTTTTCTGTTCAATCGAATAGGATTTGATGATATCAGTTGAGAAAATATTTTTTAAAATTTAAATTTTTTTTGTATTCGATTTGGCAAAAAAAAACAGAAAATTATCTACAGTTGTTGTTTCTCTTACAATTTCCTAAAACGATAACGACAATTATTTTTTGATTATAAATCATTCGATTGGTGATCGTGGTTCCAAAAAAAAATGACGATTATGATGATAAAAATAAACATATAACACAAAAAGTGAGAGAAAGAATGAAATCTCTTTGTAATCTTGGTTTGTTTACGTTAGAAAAAAATGTTGAAATCTTTTTTTCTTTTCTTAACCGCTTTTTTTCTCTTAGCGAGTCTCGATTATTTTCTTTATATGTCAGAAATTGGAAATCCGTGGTAAGTTTCTTATAAAGTGTATTTGAGTGTGTGTGTGGGTGCAATTCTTTCAATTATTATCAGCTAAATTGAAAAGAATTTCAAAATTCTAGTTTTTTTCCTCACATTATCAAAATGAAAATGAAAATTTAAGATTAAGAAGAAAAAAATTACCCTATTCAAATATTTCTAAGTGGATCGTCTTACATGAATAATAATGATGATGATGATGATAGAGATAGATAGATGTGTATAGTGTATTTTGGTTCATTCCTCCATTTAATTCAAAAAGATTTCTTGCAACCAAAAAAAGAATCTTGAAAATAAATTGTGAACAAGATAAACAAAACAAAAATCAAAATCAAAATCAAAATCAAACATCTTCACCTATATATACCGGGCATGTACATGTATGTAATGAATTCGAATAGCAAAAAAATTCGTTTTATCATCATTTATTTTTGTTTTCACGTTAACGATTCAATGAATCGATTTCAATTTATTAGAAAAATAAATGAACTGACGTCAATCCTGTTGTTGTATGAGGGCAAACGAAAAAAAATGATAACAATTGTCCTCCTATGTATAACTATCACATAACGGTATTTGTTTTTTAAATAACTACATTTCGTTTTCTTATTTCTAATTAAATTATTCTAATTAACAAAACGAAAATAAAAAATTTTCCTAGATAAAGATAATGAATAATTTTATACCTACATTTTCATTTTATTATCCATATAAACATTGCTTTTTTTTGGTGTACATTTCAAATGTTGTTAATTCCTTATTCTGGGAAAATTACAGAAAACTAAAGCTTTATAATATAATAATATAAGCAATTCGGTATATCTACATTCGTTGTTGTTGAGATTGGAAAAAAAATTCATTTGAAATTAGAATATTATTATTATTGAATTCTTCATTATCTATTTATGAAAGTATGAAGGTATTTTTATAGCTTAAATCAATTATTATTCGTGAAAAAAATAAGAATAGTGGTAATCTATACAATAAGTAGCAGCATCAGAATATAATAATATACATAAACATCATAACATAGAATATTCTGGACCAAGAATATAGAAAATATATTCAGATTCAGCTTTTATTATATATCATCCTTGTATTAGATTGACCATATTCTCTCTTTCTTTTTTGGGTAGTGATTCAAAAATTGTCAAATAATGCATGTTTCACCATGTAAATTATATATCAACAACAAAAACTAAAGAAAATAAAGATTCGGGCGCTGTTCATGTCTCTCACAGTTTTTCTAAACAAAAAAAAAAAATTCTCTCATATTTTTCGTAGGGTTCGTTGATTCATATCACATTCATTCATTCATTCATTCATTTTGGCTTTCTCACATTTTTTTTTCTGTAGTTCAAACACAAAAAAAGCTAAAATTGTAAAAAAAACATATAGAGAAAGTGTGAAGAGTTGAATGAAAAATTTGGCTTTATTTCTTGACAGTAGTGGTCCAACAACATAATGTTCGAGTAACGGTTATTATTATTATTATTATCAAAACAAGGATATAACAACAAGAACAAGAACAAGCAATCTCTACCGATTCCCAAACTATTGGAAAAATATTTATCCGAAAAAAAAAAATTTCCGATGGGGTGTTAGCGGTGGTGGTGGTGGTGATGATAATAGTGAAGATGTTTTTTTTTGGGCAAGGAAATTTAGTGGGATAAAAACAAAACAAAATCTCTAGCTTTTTTTTGGTTCAAATTATGATAACATCATTCAATTCATTACATTCTTTAATTCGAGGTTATTGGATTTTGCGCATTGAAATGAATGAAAAAATCCGAATAGCTTTATTATATTGTGTGAAAAAAACCTAGATTTTTCATTATTATTATTATTCGGGTAGAGAAAATCATTCACAGACACACAGACGAAGAGAAATGGAAACAGATCCGAAAATCTTATCAGATTAAACAAATTTACACAATGATAAACGGATGTATGTGAAATGAAATAATAATAATAATTTGTTTTTGTTTTGTGTTTTTTGCTTGATTATCAAATTGTTGTTTGGGATTTCTTTTTTGTTTTGTTTGTCTCTTACCTAATTTCACGGTATTTCAACTATTTCAAAATGTATTATCCATATTGCGGATTTTGTTGTTGAGAGAATTTTTTTTTCATTTGTAATAATGCCGATAAATATCATCGATTAACTAAATGTTTTGATGTTAATAAATTGAAATTAATCATTTCAATCATCATAATGAATTGAAGCAAAATCAAACAAAAATCAAAAACAAATTAATCATTCATGTGAAACTATCTAATCCATCCATTCAATCGTCTGTCATTTATTTATTCAATCATTACAATCGATCCATCCAAATTTTTTGTTTGATTGTTGTTTTGCATACAATCTCATTTTATTTATTGATCACAAGTTACGAAATGGCTTCGAAAACATATTTTGCTTGTATTGAAATTAATCGTATGAAAAAAGATGGTACGACAATCGATGAAAATGCACCAAAAATTTGTTTCAAAGTAAGTGTTGTTATTCTTTGTGCATAATTTAAATGAATAATTAATTTATAAAATTAAAAATTGAAAAAAAAAATCTGAATTATTAGAGAGATGGCCAACGTTTTGATGAAGAATTTACATTAAAATTACCTGTCGAAACAAATTATGAATTTTTAATACAAATACGTCCACCAATGCCTGTACGTTCAGTTACAATACGTATGATTGATGGCGATGAAACCGGTGTAAAAATTGTCGATCAAAGTTCATCCGAAGATGGCGCCATGTATTCATTTCAATGGGATACAAATAATTGTATTCCGGATAAAAAACGTAAACGTTCAAAGGTAGATATGTCGTTTTTTTTTAAAAATGGAATGTTTACTTCTTCTCAAAACAAAATGAAATTAATTTCGATTTTCTTTTTTTTCTCGTTCAACAATCCAAAAAATATAGCTACAAATCAATATTTTATTTCAGGATAATATGAAATTAGAGATACCATTGCAGATAAAATTCTATAAAGCTGATGATCATAATCATTTACAATGGGGACAACCATTAAAACATATAAATTTTGAATGTGAACAAAAATCTGGTATGAATTGTTCGACAATAATAAAAAAATGTTATCTTTGATCGATCATCATCATCATCATCATCATTTGTTTTTAATTTTTTTTCTCACCTGTGTTTTTGTATGTATCGGGCTTAGTCAAATTCAATCAAACAAATCAATCAAACACCATTTAACTCTTTAAGTTTTTTTTTGACGATTCTTATTCGTTTGTTGCAAACATAAACATCGAATCACATGTTTTTTTATCTGAAATGAATGCTTAAAATTGACAAAAACAAAAACAAAATTAAATAACTGGTAAAATTTCAATCAAAAAAATCACACTTTTTTTCATATGAACACAAACATGCATTCTCAGAAATATTGTGAATTTTTTTTTCGTTTGCATCACATCATTGATAATCAATTCAACAAGTAAAAAAAATGTTACGTCCAAAACCAAAATGTGTAGTAAAAATTGTATAGATTTTATTTATTGCCAAAAAAAAATTTCCATTTTTTAGCATATTTTTTTTTGTTTGTTTTTTTCTTTGTAAAATACCTATGTTGAAAATATTAATTAATACTAATGATCAATAAAAAAACTTTTTGGAATAAAAAAAAATTTATTGGAAAATTATAAACTGGGTTTTTTTCTATGCAGTCATAACGAATGGAAATGCACAGCAGATTTCTGTGATTACAATGGGCATTTACATATTCTTAAATACTTTAGCTTTGAATAGTTATAATCTAAATTATCTATATCAATTATTGAATATGATCAATCCATATCGATACTATCATGAAGCTATTTATACAGTCATATATGGATTTGGTAGATGTGGACATAGAGAATTTTCCATAGTTCTTTATCGTTTTAACATTAAAAATGATGATCATTTTTATTATTGTATACGTCAAATGGTAATCAATGCAATCATATATCATTGTTTGGCTTTTTTTACATTGATTTTTCGATCGAATTCAATGCAAAATCGTCGAAGCCGAATCGAAAAGATGGAAAATCATCATCGATTGGCAAGAAAATCTAGTGTCATCTTACCAGAACTTGGATGTCATAAGGAATTTGTTATTAAAAAAATTCAAATTTGATTGCATACTCAGCCAATTGTCGATTTTTATTTGAACAAAAATATTCGATCCAGAATTGTTGATGAGCGCATGTACTGAAGAAGAAGAACAACAAAAATAAAAAAATTGTTGCTGCTGATTTTTTAATTGACGTTCATAGAATTCAACAGTGAATCAAAAAAATGGTTCTTTTAATTGATACAGTCGATTCTCTCTGTTAGCAACAAAAACAATACTATTCAACACAAAAATTCAAAAAACAAACAATTCACATTTTAAAACAAACAAACATTCAGTCAGTCAATTAATCGATTAATTAAAAAATTATTATCAGAAAAAATGATTTTCAATTTCAAACAAAAAAAAATTAAGAGTTTTTTAATTTTGCCGAAATTCTGTGTTCGTATTCGAACATTCGAATATTTTTTTTTTTCAGAACAAAAGTAGTGGCAAACAACTAAACCGGTAATAATTATTAATGACGATGATTATGGGAAAAAAACTCGTAGTAGCATATAAATCTATTATCATCGGATATATATATATATCTTCATTAATATCAACTACTATTACTTAAAAACTTAATAATAAACATCGTATCTGAAATTATAATCGGCAATAGGTAGTGGTAATATTGTTTGTTTGTTTGTTTGTTATTTTTGTTGTTGTTGTTGTTGTTTTTGTTGTCATCATCATCATCATCATCATCATCATCTTTATTGAATGATGGCAACAACAACGACAAGAACCAAGCAAGCTTGAAAAAAACCAAACCAAACCAAACCAAACCAACAGCATCATTTTGGGATATTGAATTTGTTTGCTTTTTCTCAACATCCATGATGATGATGTTGTTGACGATTCTTGTTTTTAATGTTTTTATGAATTTAAATACAAAAAAAAAGTAATTTGGTGGTGATTTAATAAAACAAACAAAAGAGAAAAGAAGAAAATCCATCCATCCATTTTCAATTTTGAATTCTGTTTCTTCTGAATTTTGGCAACTAAAGTTTTCCCAAAAATTAACAAAAAAGAAAAATTTCTGATTTTGGAAATATAGCGAGTTAGAGAGAGTGAAGATCATCCATTTTAAATTCAGGTATGATTCGAATGTTTTTTTGTATTCATTTTGAAATGTATCACTTATTTTTCTGTCATTTCAATTCCAAATTTGTTCCTTTCTCCTCCGATGCATCCGAATTAAAAAAAAAATTCTTTGCAAAGCTGGTTGAGCAAAAAAACTGGATGAAAAAAATATAAGCTCATTCAATTCATCTAAATGGGTTAGCAATGATTTAGAGAGAGAGTGAAAAGAAAGAAGGAAAATGAATAGAGATAGATATATCGCATGGTATTGAAGGACAAACAAACAAATAAATAAACACAACTAACTAACTTAACAAGATAATGTTTGTTTGGAAATTTATTTATTTTTTTCCATTTCATTGAAACAAGATCGAAGGATAAAATATTGAATGAATGAAGAAGAAAATGAAAAAAAAGTTTCGTTTTGCTTTGTCCTGTCGTTTCGTGTCATCATCACTATCATCGATTTATTGATGATCACTCTTAAATTGACGAATAAAAACACGTGGTTTGTTTGTTTAGTTGTTTTTTTTTGACGATGATGGTTGTGGTGATGATGATGATAATGATTTTAAACCTGTGTGATGATTGATTTTAAAAATGGAATTCAATTTTCCATTTCTGCCTTGTTTAAAATTTAAAATTTTTTTTTCTTGAAAAATTTTTCCCCCTCTCTTTTTTTCCCAAAAGATTTTTTTTTTACAAATATTGAATAGAAGAATTGATAATCAATAATTATCACATGATTTTTTTGTTGTTGTTGTTGTTGAAACATGACCTAAATATTTAGTAGAAACATAGCAAACAAACAAACCAAACCAAAAATTGATGTCACACAGGTACATAATGATGATGATGGTGGGGGTGGTGATTTAATTATCATTTATTAATGATGATTACTTTTTTTTTGAAAATAAAAAATAAATTTCCTTTTTTTCCATATATTATATATAAACTGACGCCTTTATTATTATTATTATTCAAAAACAAATAGCAAAAAATGAAAAATCTACGGATGTTTATTATCATCATCATATCATATATGATGATGATGAACAGACAAAATTCCGAAATAATCGTTTGTATATTTAGCTCTGTATTGTCGCCTGTTGTTGATATTTTGTCGTCATCATCATCATCATCATAATAATATGATCAAATCATTATCATTCATCATCATCGAATAACAACAACAACAACAACATTTTCTCCTGAAATACATACATAGGCAACAAAAACAGGCAGAAAATACATATATTTTGTTTGTTATTTTCATAAATAAATGATAAATTGATTTAAAGAAAGTTGGCGTCGTCTAAAAAAAAGTTGTTTGTTTGGAATGTATGTTTTTTTTTTCTTCTGATGAATTTGATCAGTGGAAAATTATTTATAAAATCAAATGAGACATATAAACACACAGTAGTGTGATCCATTGATGAAATCAGTCAAATTTTAAATTTAAATTTAAAAAAAAAAAATTGAAACATTATGGGAATGATAATGATGACTGATGAATTGAATTGACAAACTGTCGATATTTTAGTTTCAATTTTCGATAGACAGAATAGATGAATGAATGAATGAAACAAACATCTTTAAACATCCAAACACAACAGATCAAATATCTTTATTTTTGACTATTCTCACCTTCTCAATGTTTGTAACATTGTTACTTATTTTTTTTTGATATTATAAATGGATGTGATATGTGATATGCATGCTAATAAATGATTGTTTGTTTGATGATGTTGATGATGGACAGAAAATAAATAACAACAACAACAATAATAAATCTTAATCCATCTTAATTATTGCTTATTTTGGTTTTTTTACGATAAGTTTTTTTAATCGGATTGTTTTTTTTTTAAAAAATTATCTTTTTTTTTGCATAGCTGAATTTTGAATATTAAAGTGATTTTTTTTTTTGATTGAAAAACAATATTGAGAATTATATTGACATTGATTGTTTGTCGTGTTTGTGTGTGTGATGTATCTGTGAATATGAGTGAAGGACAACAACAACAACATCAACAACAATCACCATTACATCAGCTTGGATCATTATCAACAGGAATGATGGTCGATTCAAGTATACCGGTGCAATTGGTTAGTATACCACCGCCTAATCAAGTATCATCAAGTTCATTAGAACAACAACAACAACAACAACAAATATCATCGATACCATCATCATCATCGGCAACAACAACAACAACAATGTCAAATCAAGGAGCATTTTATAATCTAACATTATCGATGGCATTAGAAATTCCACCAACAGTTGCCATTGAAGAATATCCAACTGAAGATCCACAACTTCATTTACAACATTTACCAAATCAACAGACAATTAAACCTACTGTTGTAAAAGAAGGTTGGATATTTAAACGAGGTATGTTAACAATTTTTTTATATTATTATTTTGAAATTTCCTATGATTTTGAATGAAATATTAATAATTTGTCCAGGTGAACATATAAAAAATTGGCGTCCAAGATATTTTGTTTTATTTACTGATGGATCATTACGTGGTTTTAAGAAAAGACCCGATCCAGGCAATTATGATGATCCAATGAATAATTTTACTGTTCGTGGCTGTCAAATAATGAAAACAGATCGACCAAAACAATTTACATTCATTATACGGGGCTTGCAATGGACTTCGGTTATTGAACGAACATTTCATGTTGAATCTGAACAAGATCGTGATGCATGGTGTACGGCCATTGCACATGTTTCACAATCATTACCACCATTAGATCCACAATCGACTGATGTAGAAATGTCAGATGCAAATGTAACAGCCAATAGTATGAATCGTTTACAGATAACATCACGTGAATCATCACGTGGTCGTCGTATACAACTTGATGATTTTGAATATTTAAAAGTATTGGGTAAAGGTACATTCGGTAAAGTGATATTATGCCGGGAAAAGAAAAGTGGATCATTATATGCCATTAAAGTGTTGAAAAAAGAAGTGATTATCGAAAAAGATGAAGTGGCGCATACATTGACCGAAAATCGTGTACTTCGATATACAAAACATCCATTTTTAATTGTAAGTTTTTTTTATGTTTGTAAATTCAAATATCCACTGAATTTTTTTTCTTTAGTCATTGAAATACTCGTTTCAAACTGAAGATTTACTTTGTTTTGTCATGGAATATGTAAATGGTGGTGAACTATTTTTTCATCTTACACATGAAAGAAAATTCACTGAAAGTCGTACACGTTTTTATGCTTGTCAAATAATTTTGGCACTTGATTATTTACACAATCGTGGTATAATATATCGTGATCTTAAGGTTTGATTCAGTGATAATTATTGTTGAATATTTTTTTAAAATCAAATTTTTTTTTGAAATCAATATTTAGCTTGAAAATCTTCTGCTCGATAATGAGGGTAATATAAAAATTGCCGATTTTGGCCTTTGTAAAGAAGAAATCACTTATGGTAGAACAACAAAAACATTCTGTGGTACACCTGAATATCTTGCGCCAGAAATTCTAGATGATACTGATTATGGTCGAGCTGTAAGTAATAATTTAATTATATAAACTGATTTTTTATTTTTGAATTATATCTTCAAAAAAAGGTTGATTGGTGGGGATTAGGTGTTGCCATGTATGAAATGATAATTGGTCGATTACCATTCTATAATAATGATCATGATATACTTTTCGAATTGATACTTGTGGAAGAAGTTAGATTTCCTCCAACAATTTCACCCGAAGCAAAAGATTTATTAGCCGGATTGTTGAAAAAAGATCCAACACAACGTTTAGGCGGTGGACCAGAAGATGCTAAACAAATAATGTTTCATCCATTTTTTCGTGGTGTTAATTGGCAAGATGTACTCGAGAAAAAGGTTTGAAATTCTGTGTGATTTTATCTTTGTTTTTATTAAATTGTCACAATATTTTTTCAAATAGATTGACCCACCATTTAAACCACAAGTGACAAGTGAAACTGATACAAAATATTTTGACCAAGAATTCACTGGTGAATCAGTACAGCTTACACCACCCGAACGTACCAGTACGTTGGATTTGATTTCGGAAGAAATTGAACAGCCTTATTTTCAGCAATTCTCCTATCATGGCAGTGCTACAACATTGGCTGATAGTGTAAATTCATGATGATGAATTTAAAAATAAATAATAATCATTAACCGCCATCATAATTGATTCTCATAATTCAATCAAATCCATTATTTCATCAATTTATTGATCCTCATTTTTCAAAATCATTTTTTCTTAATTTCCGCCATTTTATGATCCTCTCTTTCACCTATACTCAAGAGTGAGATATTTGATTTTAAATCAAACATACACAGAAACGAACAACAAAAACAACACATGGATATTATCAATTTCAAATAACATTAAAAAAATGTTAAAATTCATTCATTCAACACATCAACCGCCTTGTTAAAGTTTATTTCTATTCTTTTTTTTGCATGTTTCAAAATTCAAGAGAATAGAGAGAAAAAAAAGTAGAAGAAAATTCTCCATTCATTTTTTTCCATTTTTCTTCTTTTTTTTTGATCGTCCAATCGATCATTTTATTTCATTTTTCTCCATCTCTTCTGCCTATTGCGGTTTTTATTTTATTTTTGAATCAGATTTTATTGTGTTTTTATCAACTTTTTTTTTTAAAAAAAATTGTTATAATTCTTTTTCTTATCTATTTGTCATTTTTATTTTTTATTTTCATTTTTCACACAATATATTCAAAATTTATATATAAATTATCAAATCTACGGTATATATTGAACCATATTGAACACCCACACACAAGCAAACAAATATACAAATGATGATAAACCATACAATATTGATAATTACACTGATGAAATATCACACACATATTATCTATATATACATCAATTGCAATGTCTCAATCTTTCAAACAAAACAAAACAAAACAAAGCAAAGCAAAACAAGATTCAAGAGAAACAATCGGTTGTTTTTTCCGGTTTTTTTTTCTACTAAATTGATCAAAAAAAGAAAAAATCCTCTATCAGCGATGAGCTATATCATTTATTTTCATTCTTATCCGTTTATCTGTTTTTCTTTTATATAAATAATTTTTTTATTATTATTCCCTTTTTGTTTTTGCTCTCTTATCTATTCACTATCTAAATAGAATCGATATTTATCCCGCTCTCTTTCCAACAACAACAACAACAACAAAAACGATTCGATAATAGAAAAAAAAATGGATTAAATTTTTATTGATTTTAACTTTCTTTGTGTTTTTTTTTATAATGAAAATATATTATTTTGTCGATCATAAATCATTTGATTTTTTCGAATTTGGATGAAGATCTTTTTCAATTGCATCGATTGCTACACGCATTAAACGTGAACGATTTTTGGCAAACGTATCCAATGCTAATTGTCGTGTTTTTTCCCATTGATATAATGATCTATAAATAGGTACAATATATTTCATACGTCCATATTTTGTAATAAAATCAATAGCTGTTGGAACAATATCATCATATTGTGCTTTTATACCACACATAATCCAAGCATTAATCACTTCACAATTTTTAACCGTAGACAATTCATAAAGTTCAGACATTCGTGATAATTTTTGTTTCATTGTTGTTGTCGTTATTGATTCATTCAAACGATTTTGGATTTGAATAAAAAACATTTGTTGTTGCATTGAATCAAGAGATTTGAATTCGTTTAATGGAAAATGATTGGAATCAGTTTCATTATCTTCAGCCTTAAGCCATTTGGTGGCTAAATTAACACTGGCCATCAAAAGTGTTTTATCATAATCAGGAATAACAGGTGGCATTCCAGGTGAATGAAGCCAACGATTCCAATCAATCGAATTAAGTATTTCGCTTTTGTTCGAATCAGATTTAAAATAATCGAAAAGAAAACGGCTAAAATCATCAGTAACAATTGATTGATATTTAAATTTATCAATATAGGCTTTCAAGAATGGTTCAAAAACTGTAGGGCCACCTAGTTTTTGCTCCAAATAGAATAGAAATGTATGACCTTTTTCATATGGAACGGAACTGAAAACATCATCCGGATTAATGCCATTAACATCGATCAAAAGTTTTGTAAATGGACTTGATTCACCATAATATTGTATGACAGATTTCAAACTATTCAAACCTTCCAAAGCATTCAATTGACGAAATTGTTCACCGTGTTTATCCAGCCGACCACCTGTTGGATTTTAAACATACAAGTTAAAAAAAAAATCATTTTTTTTCGGCAATTTTAATTAGAATTATACATACATATTTTTCTTTCCAAAAATGTAGTGAAACCTTCGTTCAACCAAAAATGACCATAATTAGCATTAGTGACAAGATTTCCAGTCCAGCTATGTGAAATTTCATGAGCAATCACATAAACTAATGATCGATCACCAGCCAATAATGTGGGTGTAGCAAATGTTAAACATGGATTTTCCATACCTCCATATGGAAATGATGGTGGCAATACAAGAACATCATAAACTCCCCAAACATATTCACCGGCAAAATGTTCCGCTGCATCCAATAGTTTATCAATATCGGCAAATTCCCAAGCAGCCGATTCAATTGTTCCAGGTTCAGCCCAAACATGAGAAATTCGTCCGATTTTTTTCGAAACCAAATCACCAGCAGCGATAGCAATTAGATATGAAGCTATGGGAACTTTTTGATTGAAATAATGTATTCGACGATTATCATCAATTGGTTTGGGATCATTGGTAATCATAGCACTCATTAAAACTTGAAGCTCTTTTGGTGCCTGAATTTCGGCCGAATAAGTTGCTTTCACTGATGGTGTATCCTGACAAGGTAATAATGCTCGTGCATTGATCGCCTGACATTGTGAATACATAAATGGATGTCGTTTATCATTTGTTTGTTCAGGTTTCATCCACATTAAAGCTCGTGATGTAGAATTTGTTCGATAATCGATATGAATCTGAAATTTTTCTGAATCAATTCCACTGATATTAATTTCAAATTTTGAACCAAATTCTGGTACAGGTGGATAAAATTTAAAAGGAATTGCTTGTTTAACACCATCGATTAATTGATAAACACCAAAAATAGTCAAATCAACCGTATCCAAAAAAAGATATTGTACGTTTGTAGCAATCTTTCGAACAGTGAGAACAACATTTCCATCGAGTATTTGATTTTCGAAATCAATCGTTAAATTCAAATGTAAATGTTCAACTTTAGCTTCATCAGCACGGGCAAACGAATTAGGATCTAATGAATTATTTTTCAATTCTTCTTTTAGATTAGCCATTGTTGTTGGTAGATTAAAGAATTGACCAAGTGTTATCGATTCAGTTGCCATTACTGGTAGGTTGATGTTTAAATTATGATTATGATAATAATATAAACCTGCTCCAACTAAGGCTGCAACCACTGTTTGCGAAATAAAGAAAAAAAGAAAAAATTAAAAATCTTATCTTTTATTTACGATGGTTTTGATTTAAATATAAAAAAAATATAAAGTTGCTTAGAAACTACAGAAGCAAAGACATATTGGATGATATTGGATTGGGGAACAAAAAATCGGTCATTAGGTTAAGTAATAAAGACAATAGTGATATATCTGCCAAATCATCATCATTAACTTAAGTCAATTTCACCAAAATGACACATTTTTTTGGAACATTATCATTTCATCAGATAAATAGAGATGATCATGTTTTGTTTATACAGGACTTACAAGTAAATAATAGAAAAGTTTGTCTATTCATGATTGATTTAGTTATTTGATGATTGTTAGAAACAATTATAAATGATTGTTGCTGTTGTTGTTCTTCATCATTCTGATGATGATTTATATGACGTTTATGAAGTTTTGACATTGCTTCAAATATCAATTTTTTTCAACAACAACAAAAAAAATGATGATGTGATTGATTGAAAATATATTTGTACGCGTAAGCAAATAAAAAAAAAAGATCAATGTATAAAAAAAACTTACCTATAACAACGATAATAACTTTGCAACAAGCTTTTAGCTATATGTTTTTGATTTGGAATCCAAAAAGAAAAAAGAAAAAAAATGATTAGAATAGCAATTTTTGTTTGCGAATAAAACTCTTACAATAAACGAACAAATTGTCGAAATAATAATCGAAAGAACCATCCAAAGGAGTATCATCTGATTCGGTGTAAATGTTTGCTCACCATTTTCCCCATTAAATGGAAAGCCCATTTTTTTTTTTTTTTTGAAAAAAAGGAAAAAATGAAATTTGATTTTATTCAACAACGTTCAGGTTGTCCATTGTAAAATCCGAATCAATTGTAGTTTAAATATCCAATGATTTTTTTTGTTGTTAAATTTAATTAGTTTTTGTTCGTAATTGTTGAATTTTAATTCAATAAACCAATCCATTGATTAGGTTGTTGAATATGGATAAAATTATTTCCAGAATAACCGGTATTAAATTGGATAAATTTTATAATCCAATTTCATATTATCGACAATCATTTTTACAATGGTTTTATCATTCATTTTGTTTTTATTTTCATTTAAACATATTGATTATTTATCTTTCATCAATTACCATATATCCAATGATACGTTGTCAACATAATTCACATTATGAAAATGTATTTATTGATCATTATTGTTTATTTAATTCAACATATTTAATTGATTATCGATTATCATTATCATCATCTGAACGATTATATTATCAACAAACATGGTTTTCAAATATTCATTCAAATGATATTCAACCAAATCAAAATTCAAATGATGATGATGATGATTCGTATTATTATTCTATTCGTTTTCATCATTATTATCCACATTTAATTGCTATATTTACCATTTTGGTTAGCATTCGTATTTCATGTGAATTTTCAAATTTCAATCTTCTTTCTTTCTTTCTTTACCCCTTTCGTTCCATTCCTAATAGCTTTCAATAAATTTTATGGCAAATTTTATACGAATCAAAATGAATTCATTTCATCGAAAATTATTATATAATGATCCTTGTCGTTATTTTCATTGTAAAATTCGTAAACGAAAAAATCAAAAACAAAAAACGAGAAAAATGAAAATGAAAAAACCATTCATTTGTCTAAAATATTATCATTGTTTATTGATATTTTTCGATACCGAATCGATCATAATGATTGGATTATATTTTCAAATATTGATACTAAATTTTAATTTTAATCAAGATATTTTCTGGTATGGTTTTCGTATTTTTAATTATTACATTTTTACTATAATAAAAAATGATAACGTTGCTGAAAACGTTTTTGAATTGGTAAGATAATTTTATTGAAAAATTTTTCCCATTATTTTACAAATTTTTCCCATCATCAACAACAAGATGTTTCCAATATTTACTAAATGTTCAATACGAACATTCGGTACAAGCGGTATGGAAATACATTATGATGGTCTTTGTCAATTACGTTATAATTATTTTAATCGTATTACATTTACATTAATATGGTTAATTTATTTTTTCATTATAATTTTTATATTGATAAATTTTTTTAAAAAAATTTTAATCATATCATCTAAATATTATCGTCAATCGATTATAATATCAAAATTATTAAACAATGATGATGATGAGTATGATGATGATAGCAATGGTAATGATGTGGATGATGAAAACCGAATTGATCATGAAACATTGAAAATAATATTTCGAAAACATATGGATCTTGATATATTTATAACAATAAATTGTTTAATAGAACAATTTGGTTCGAAAAGAACTAAACAGATTTTATCTATTCGGCCATTCGTCAACAACAATGATAATATGAATGAAAAAGAAATTGCTTTACTTGAAATGAATGATAATGGTAATGGTAATGGTAATGATAATAATGGTACAATAATAAATGTGGATCAAATTTCATTCAATAAACCAGAACAACTGCAACAACAACGATCATTGCCATCATGATCAGCATAAAAAAGCGGAAAAAAATTGTCCAAATGTTTTCAAGGTTAGTGCTTATTTTGTGTTATCGTGGAAATGAACACATACAGAATCTAATCTTGACTTAATTACTAATGTTTTGTTTTGTTTTTTTCGGTTTCTGTCAATTTTTTTTTTTGGGAAAAAAAAGCCATGATGACATGATTACCATTGGATTTTCGTTTTCTCTCTTCCATCAAACAAACATTCCTCTGGAACTAAATCTACCAACAACAAAAAAAAAAGTTTAAAATGACATTTTTGTTCAACAAGAAAAAAAACTGACATTTGCCGATTATGAACTCTGCAAAAGAAAAAAAAAACATTAACAACAACAACAACAAAAATGTCAAGATAGCAAAACTTGTCAAATAAAATGTAATCTTTGATTTTGAAATTGGATTTTTTGAATTGAAAAAAATAAAAATTTTTTAAAAGAAAAATATGAATTCATTGAGAAAAACTATAGTTTCACCAGAGAAAAATATGTGGGAACCTAAAAATATGGTATTTTGAGATGAGAATTAAACAAATTGAAAAAAACAACACCGGATTCAGGATTTTAGCCAGAAAAATTCTTCGAATCCAATTAATTAATAGCGAAAAAATAAGAATGTTTTCTTCGAAACACATTCAAATGAGAAAACAAAAGGAAATCCTGGTAGTATAATGATTCATTCAATGATTTTATATTTCCAAATCAAATCATTATCGCCAAAATCAATTTGAAATTAGAAAATAACCCGGATTCCTTTTTTTCGTTTTCCTTAAATGATGATTAATCATCATCGAACAAAACAAAGCAAAACAAAAAAAAAATTGCTGAATTAAAATCAAACAAATTTACTCTTTCTTTCTTTTTGTTTTCTTCAAATAAATCTTTACACTTTCGAAGCTTCATACAAATCTTTGTTGGATTCGATTCTTTGTCGGTTTATGTCTGGATTTTTCCTTCTTTCTTTTGATTGTGTGTGTGTCAGATCTACAAAGAAAGAAAGAAATCATCTACAACAAATGGACTAATTTGCATAAACAAATCTGAAAATAATGATTAAAAATGTCTGTCGAATATTTTTTTTCGAATCTGGCATTTTTTTTGATACAATGTTTTTCTTTGGAATCATCATGTTAATCATTTTTGATTTTCTTTTTCTTCTTCTTCTTCTTCTGGTTTTTCTTCGTTTGATTGATATCACCAGATCAACAAATAAACATGTAGAGCGATTCACAACCAAACGCCCCATAGACAACACCAAAAAAAAATCATTTGTTCAGAAAGTTGGGTTTTCTTCTTCTTCTTGTTATTTTCTGGTTAGTTTAAAAATTCGTTGTGTATGTGTTGCATTCGACCCAACCCTGTGATGTGGGACAAATTGTTTCTCTGATTCTGGTAGAAGAAGTTTATGCGCATAGTTTTTTTGGCTAATGAAGAAACCAAAACGGAAAAACTCTTCTTAATTCGTTTGTAAAGACGATTATTTTGAATTTTTTCAAAAATCAATTATTTATTGTTGATCGAATCGAATCGATTTGATCAATTAACTTCATAATTGTTATATAAGTGTGAGAAACAAAAATCATTATCATCATCAATGATCGAAATATTACATCCGTTTTCTTCCTTTTGCATTGTGTTAAATGATTCTTTAAGTTTCAATTTTCAAAATCAACAAACAAACATTCATTTTTTCCTGTTCATTTATTCATCAGATTCGATACATTCATGTTCGTGTTTTTCGCACAAATTAGCAATTGTTGTTTGAATTGAGAGAAAGGAAAGAAAAGAAGAATATTTTGAATATCAAATCAACAATTTGTTGATTTGATTCTGGAATCCATAATGCGGTTTCATCAAAATTCATCATGTCGATTGTTGGATGAAAATCGACAACAACCACCGAAACAACAACCAATAATCAACGATGATAAACAAACGACAGAAACATCAGAATGGAATAGAATTGGAAAAAAATTTGTGCAATTTTCTCTAACATTCTATTATCGTTATTATCATAATTCATCATATCGTTCATTTGAATCTTCATTAATGAAATTAATTATCATATTCAATTTAATATTATTAACATTATTTTGTTCACAAATATCTGCATTATCATCATCATCTTCATTACCAAATTTTCATCATTTAAAATTAAATGTAAGAAAATTATTTGAATTTTTCAATCTTAAAGGAAAAGATTATGGCAATTTTATAAACAAAATTTTCAAAAAAGATTTCCGTATTAAAGTAACCAAAATTTAGGCCAGAATTTTTCCATTTTTTCTGTTTGATCTATAAATAAATGAATTCTGCGTTTCTGAATTTTGATAGATTTTGTTTATTTTAAAATGTCAAACTTTTAAATGTTTTTTCTTTCTTTCATTTTCCTTTAGAATTTTCCGAATTTAACCAAAACAGAACAATCAAACAATCAAAATGATTTTATTCATCCGAAAAAAATTACATTAATTTCGGATGTTAAAATTTTTGAATATAAATTTAATCAAACAAATAATCGTAAACATCATCATCATCATCATACAAAACGTCAAATTTCACAATTATCATCCGATATTATACTTGGATTTGGTTCACCATATCAACAACAATTTGATCGTGGACCATGGAGTCCATGGACTGATCTAAGTGAATGTACACGTACATGTGGAAGTGGTGTTTATTATCAAACAAGAATCTGTTTAGATCCACAAAGGTTTGTGAATAAAATCAATGAAAACAAAATTAATTTCAATATTTTTTTTTGCCATTGTTTAAAACAAACACAGAACCTGTACAGGACCATCAAAACGTTATCTAAGTTGTAACATTCAGGTAAATAATTATGATGAATATAAATAATACTCTGTTGAACTTGAACTTGATCTACATCGATTTTTTTCCTTTATCATCTTCAATTGAGTTACCTTGAAGAAAAAACTTTTTCAAGGTAAAAAATACAAGAAGTAATTTCTCTATTTCTTCGTTTCGCTTTCATTCATATATTATTCAGGTCAACAACAAATATAGTAACCAAATATATATTTATATTGTTACTAATGATAGCCTCTACATATATTTGTTTTCTGAATTTAAAAGAAACAAAAAAAAAATTGTGATATTTTTAAAGTCTCATTTACAAAAAAAGAAATTTTGTAAATGAAAATGAAAATGAAAGGCCTCTTTTCATTGAAAATATATAGGTCAGGAGGCCAATAAATATGGTTTGTAAGGCCATTGAAAGAGAAATTTAGGTCCTCGACAGTTAAAGTTGTCGACCTTGTTGATATGGCCAGGTCAACCTGTATATAAATGTAGGTCAGAAAATAAAAAATTATATAATAAGTGTGGTTTATAACAATTATCAATGTGGTGTTTGTGTTTATATTTATCACAATGATCCTTTTTTTTTGCAAACAAACAAAACAAAAAAATTATTATTGAGCAATGTGACTTGGTTTCATTTTCTAAATGTTTTTCTTAATTTTTAGAGTATCCAAAATAGATTTTGCTCTTCTTGGACAACAACAACAAAAAAAAATCAGCATATTGATGTTTCTATATTTATAAAGTGGATCGAGATTTTCTATTTTCTGTTTTTTTTTCTGACCTTAATCTATTTCTTTTTTCATTGATATTTTTTTATTTATCATGTCCGATTTCGAATACTTGTGGCTATTTCGACAACAATAATAATTTTTTTGTTTGTTGTGTTGAAACGCGGAAATTTTCGTTTTTGTTTTTGTTTTTTTTTTGTTGCTCGTATTTCAAGTTCAATTCAATGTATTATGAAATTTCTTGTTGTATTTTGGAATGTTTCCATTTTGTTTGTTTGTTTGTTTTCACATAGGAATGTCCAAAAGGAACGGAAGATTTTCGTGCAAATCAATGTGCTCGATTTAATCCTATCCCATTTGAAGGACGATATTACAATTGGTTACCATATTATACAGGTTTGTCTATCATTATGATTCTGATCAATGAAAGAGTAAATAAATAAATGAATATTATTATATGATAGCTGATGGAAATCCATGTGAATTGAATTGTAAACCGGAAAATGAACGTTTCTATTATCGTCATTCGAAAAAAGTAATCGACGGTACACGTTGTTATGATGATGATTCAAATAATATCTGTTTGGATGGTGTTTGTATTGAATTGGGTTGTGATCGTGCACTTGGATCAAATATTAAAGAAGATAATTGTCGTGTATGCGGTGGTGATGGTTCTACTTGTCGCCGAGTATCTGGTGTTTATCAACAGAATCAAGGTTTACGTACTGGTTATAATGATATTTTATACATACCGGCTGGATCAACTAACATCACCATACAAGAAGTTATGCCAACAAATAATTATCTAGCCATTCGAAATGATAAAGGTAGATATTATTTGAATGGAAAATGGAAAATACAACCTCCAGCTACATATGAAATTGCTGATACAAAATTTCATTATCAACGAGCTCGTCGATATGATAATGTTCCGGAAAAAATTCGCGCTTTAGGACCAACTAAAGAACCTTTATTCATTCAGTTAATATATCAAGAACCAAATCATGGTATTTCATATGAATATTCTGTTCCATTGGCAAACGAAAATCAATATGGTGGTGAAATACCAGTTCTTAACGTTATTGAAACTAAATCTAGCAATGGTAGAAGAAGAGGATATCCCAGATATGTTTGGATTTTTGGTGATTATTCGGAATGTTCAAAATCGTGTGGAACAGGTGTACAACGACGAAACGTCTATTGTGCGTCAATGAATACTAGAACCGGTCAACAGGAACGAGCATCCGATTCGCTTTGTGATTCATCGAAACGACCACCAGATACACGTCCTTGTCATAATGAAAAAAAATGTACACCACAATGGAAATTTAGTGATTGGAGTGAATGTTCATGCGTTCATGGTATACGTTATCGAAACGTTTATTGTTCATCCGGTGATTCGGATATTTGTCCAGCCGCTGAAGGATCAACTGATATTCTACCGGATTCTCATTGTGCCACGAACAATCAAACAAGACCGGAAAATATACAAAAATGTCAACCAGATTCGCCGGATCAATGTCCCGAATGGATTTTTGGTGAATGGACAAAGGTTTGTTATCTTTGAACTTTCTGCAATTCTGACTAATTCAATATTTCTTTCACTCGATAGTGTGACGCACATTGTGGTGTAGGTAAACAAACTCGTAAAGTTCGTTGTGGCCGTAAACCTCGTATACCACCTGTTGAAGCTTTAGCTGCCATTTCAGAAACAACTACTACCTCGGCTAGTGAATTATCCACCGGTACTGAAGGTTCACAAATGGATTTGACTGCAACAACTACAGTATCTACTATACTTGATTCTGAATCGGAAACAACAACTGTTACATCAACAGTCATCACGACTACAGAGAATTCTATTGATCAAGAATTACAGCCAGCAAAACGTGAAACATTAGCAGATTGTGATGACGATAATATTGAATATGTTGAAGAATATCTTTGCGATCTAAATAATAAACCACCAGAAGAACAATCCTGTTCATTACAACCTTGTGAAGATCTTGGATCAGTAGAATGGGTTACATCACCATGGTCATCATGCGATATTGATTGTGCAGCACAAGTACAAACTCGACAAGTTGTTTGCATTTCTCGTGATGGACAAGTATTTCCCGATAAAACATGCGTTGAACTTCGTGGTGAGCGACCAGCCGATCGACAAGATTGTACCGATGGTTCAGTCTGTTCACAATCATTGTGGTTTACTTCAGAATGGAGTAAATGTACCGGTGCTTGTACAGGACAAGGTATGCAAACTCGTCACATTTTTTGCGGCCATATCGATGACAAAGGCATGGTCATCAAAGATGATGATGAAAGTAAATGTCAAAATGAAATGAAACCACCAAAAGCTACAGTTTGTGAATTAGAAACAAATGATGATCAGTGTTCAAAAGGTCAATGGTTTAGTGGTCCATCTGGTCCATGTAATGTAATTTGTGGCGGTGGTAAACGAATTCGTAAACGTTTCTGTTTGAAAACTGTAAAAAATAATCAATCAATCGAGATTGATTCAAGTGAAAGTTGCGAAGAAAATGAATCAACAAATTTAATTTCGGAATCTGAACAATGTAATATTGAAGCATGTGATCCAGATCAATTAGCAATGATGGTCGATTGTAAAGATACTGAGTATGGCTGCTGTCCGACCGATAATTCTACACCGGCTGATGAAACTTTAAGTAATTGTCCAACGATTACAGCTGAATCGATCGAAAGTTGTTCACAATCTGAATATGGATGCTGCCCTGTTGCCAATGCTGATGATAAAGATGAATTTGAAAATAGTCGAAATCTAACTCTAGCTTTAGGTCCATATGGAATTGGATGTCCGATTCATTGTTCGAATACACAATTTGGTTGCTGTCCGGATATGATAACTGTAGCGAATTCGAGTGATCTATCAGAATGTCCAATGTCATTAGAAGAAACAACAACAATGATGACTACTACAATGGAACCGACAACAACAATGATGACAACCATTGCCGAATTTGAGCAGACAACATTATCAACTGATACTATTCCAATTGCTGGTTTATCATTTGTGAATTGTTCGGATGAAGATGATCCATCATTATGTAGCATGTCTACAACATCGGCAAATCTAGTTAGAGATTGTTCACGATCAAAATTCGGTTGCTGTCCAGATGGTTGGAATGAAGCTCAAGGACCAAATGGAGAAGGATGTGAAGAAGGAAGTGGCGATATAAGTACATTTTTGGCTAGTACAATCGATTCAGTGATGAATCTATTTGTTACAAGCGAAGCTCCAGTCACTGGTGATGATATCGATTGTAGTCTCACAGAATTTGGATGTTGTCCAAATGGAAAAAAGAAAGCTATTGGCCCAAGATACTATGGATGCACCTGTCATGATTATCCATTCGGCTGTTGTCAAGATGAATATACACCAGCTTCAGGTGAAAATCTCGAAGGTTGTCTTTGCGAACGAATGCTATATGGTTGTTGTGCTGATGGTCGTACACCGGCTAAAGGTCAAAATCGTGAAGGTTGTGATTGTACATCATCACCATATGGATGCTGTTCGGATATGTTTACATTTGCAAAAGGACCAAACTATCAAGGCTGTCCATGTGATACACTTACGTATGGATGTTGTCCAGGTAGCCAGATTCCTGCACGTGGACCAGATTTTACAGGTTGTAGTTGTGCTGATACACCATTTGGTTGTTGTGCTGATGGTATTACAGTTGCGTATGGTCCAAAATTCGAAGGTTGCCCATCTGGATTGCCATTGGATATGAAATTGAATTCAGAAGTCTGTAAATTACCCAAAGAATCGGGACCATGTTCAAATTTTTCAGTTCAATGGTTTTTTGATAATGAAAGTGGCCGTTGTAATCGATTCTGGTATGGTGGATGTCAAGGAAATGGAAATCGTTTCAGTTCACAAGAACAATGTGAACGTTCATGTGTAAAACCAGAAGGTCCTGAACGATGTCTGTTGCCAAAAATATCTGGTCCTTGTAATTCATCATCAGAAGCATATTATTATGATGATGAAACAAAACGTTGTGAACGATTCTTGTATGGTGGATGTTTGGGCAATACGAACCGTTTTGAAACAATGGAACAATGTGTACAGACTTGTATCTATCAGGAAACAGCATTAGATCAATGCGATCAACCACCACAACCTGGACCTTGCCGTGGAAGCTATACACGATGGTATTATCGTCGTGAAGAAGGTCGATGTCGTGATTTTAGCTACGGTGGTTGTCACGGAAATCTAAATAATTTCCAAACTGAAGATGAATGTCAAAGTGCTTGTGCTTCACGTACACCATTCGAAATTTGTGTACTACCTGTTGCTCAAGGTTCATGTTTAGGTTCATTTCCACGTTGGTTTTTCGATTCTCGTATTGGTCAATGTCATGAATTTACTTATTCCGGTTGTGGTGGTAATAAAAATCGGTTTATTGATCGTGTTTCTTGTGAACAACTTTGTAATCAAACTATACCGGATTATTTCTATCCAACTCAACGACAACCATATGATCAACGACAGCCATCATATCCGTATTCAGATCGTGATAATGAAATTGTGCCCGTTGTTCCACCATCTTCATATGAAAGTGTCTGTGCTTTACCACAAGCTCATGGAAATTGTCGTGATAATATTATACAATGGTATTTTGATATTAATACACGTCGTTGTGAACGTTTCTATTATAGTGGATGTGGTGGTAATGATAATCGTTTTAATGATCAAATACAATGTGAACAAAAATGTTTAGCATATGCATCACAGATTACACCGATGATGCAACATGATCCATGTTTAGAACCAAAAGATCTTGGTGATACTCAATGTCAAGATTATCGTCATCGTTGGCATTATGATGTTGAAGATCGACGTTGTCATCGATTCTATTATTATGGCTGTGGTGGAAATCGTAATAATTTTGAAACTGAAGAAGAATGTTCTGCTCGATGTGTTTTACCAAGAGAACGTGGTAGTCAACAACAACAACAACAAGTGATTAGATATGGACAACGATTACCGACACATTCGGATGCTGAATTGCATGGTATAACATCGATTGAAGAATTTCATCCAGAAAATTGTTTCAAACAATATGATTCTGGTCCATGTGAAAAAAATCATATACAATGGCATTATGATAGTCGTGATGGTGTTTGTAAAGAATTCATCTATGGTGGATGTGAAGGTAATGAAAATCGTTTTCATTCACAACAAGAATGTCAAACAAAATGCTGGAATTCGCAGGATATCTGTAAATTACCACAAATACGTGGTTCATGTACTGGAAATTTTACACAATTTTATTATGATCATCAAAGTCAAGAATGTTATGAATTTCAATTTAGTGGTTGTTATGGTAATGCTAATCGATTTAATTCAAAAGAAACCTGTGAACAACAATGTCGAACTGATTATCCGATGTCGATTGTTTCGCAACAACAATCATCTCAAACGACACCTGTTGATCAACATCATCAACAACAACAACCGCAGCAACCACAGATTTCAGATGTATCAATTGTTAATGAAACACATTTGGATCGATGTCATCAACCAATGGCTAAAGGTCCATGTCGAGCATATTTTGTACAATATTATTATTCTGCTGAAGAAAATCGCTGTCAAATGTTTATCTATGGTGGTTGTGATGGTAATGAAAATCGTTTTGATAGTGAAGAAGATTGTGAAAAAGTTTGTAAAACTACACCTAGCGTACGTGAAGATGAAGAAGAACCACGTGAAGGTATTGATCTACCAGAAGTTGTATGTTTGTTAAAAATGGAACAAGGATCATGTCATGAAACAAGAGCAAAATGGTGGTATGATCCAAATAGTCATACATGTTTTCCATTTGTCTATAGCGGATGTAAAGGTAATAAGAATCGTTTTGCCGATTTTGATAGCTGTATTCGATTCTGTTCGGGTGTATCACATCAACAACAATCACAATATCCTCCAACCCATCAAGTTATCTATCCAGCACCTACACCAATTCAAGAACCATCAAGACCCGAACCAACATATCCATATATACCTCAGACATCTAGACCATTACCAACTCATGAACAACCAGTTCATCCTGGATGTGTACCAATGGAATGTCAAGAAGAAAATTGTATACTCGGAATCGATTACTATCATGATCATCGTGGTTGTCCGGTTTGTCGTTGTGTTAATCCATGCAATGATATTCGTTGTCCAGAAGAAATGAATTGTGCTGTAGAATTATTCCGTGATGAAGTTACGGGCAAAATTCGTGCAAATGCTGAATGTCGATTGCGAGTAAAACCAGGTCAATGTCCTAGAAACATTCATATTGTACCGGAATCTGAACGTGAGCAATCGCTCGAATGTTATGATCAATGTCGATCCGATGCAGATTGTCGTGAATTTGATAAATGTTGTAATAATGGCTGTGCCGATATATGTGTTGCACCTGAAGGTTATTATACATATCAAGAACTTTCTAAAACACCATCATTATCATCATCACCAACACCAACAGCAGAAAACAATCAATCAACATATTATTATTCACCAACACAGGATGTTTCACAACAACATTCAAGCTATTATAATTATTCAGTTGTTAGTCAACAACAACAAACAAACAATGGTGATAGACAACAACCACCATATGCTGAAGGTTCTTCTTATAATCAACAACAATCAACAAGTGATCATCGATATCCAAATACTGATCAACGTCCAAATGTACAATATGGATATGATGTTGTCAAAAGTAATGGACATCCAGATCAAGTAATACATCCAAGTGATCAGCATATTTATCATACAACCAATGGTGGTGGTATGAATGATAATGGACAAAATCAAACCAAACAACAACAGCCAAACTATTCTTATGATCCAAATCAGCAACAACAACCTGGCCAACAACAAACAGATCAATATCAAATTCCAATTGAAGAAGATTCGAATAATAATATTATTAGAAATGATCAACATCCGTCATATTCAAATCAAGATCAATCGACCAATAATCAACAACAACATTATCAGGATCCATATCAACAATCTATTCATTCTTATAATTATCCATACGAACATCCGGATCAACGACAACATGAACAATATCAATATAATCAACAACAACAACAACAACATGTTTATAATGCAGATCATCAAGAACATTATGGTGATCGACAATCACAACGACAACCAGAGCATTATCCAGGATCTGTTGTTGTTCGTTCAGGTCAAGAAGAAGCTATTCTAGATTGTCCATCCGCTAATGAAACAATGAATTTTGAAACAATCGATCCGAATAAATCGACATCGGTAATCTGGATAAAAGATGGACAACAGATTGATCAATCATTAGATCGATATGATTTATTATCAAATGGTTCATTAAGAATTTTAAACATTGAACCAAATGATCGTGGTATTTATTATTGTTTAGCAAATTCAAAAATTGGCTATCAAATGGTACCGTTAGAAGTTAATGGTAAGTTTAAACAATTGCTTATTTTTGATGATAGCTTTTGCTTGATTGGCTTCGAAATTTTGTTTCCCCGATAAAGAACCTGCAAGAATTTCGTCTGAAGGACCTAAACGTGTAATTGCACAAATTGGCATGCCTATCCATTTACATTGTCGTGCAATGGGTTCACCGGAACCTAAAGTTACATGGTTTGTACACATAAACACACACTCAATTTAATTTCCGATGGCTTTTAATTTTTTTTTTGATTTCGATTCAAAAGGTGGCGCGGTAATCAAATGCTTCCAATTAATGATCGAAAATATCAACAATGGCCAAATCATACATTGATCATTCAAAGAGTTGAAGAAAAAGATATTGGCTATTATACATGTCATGTATGGATGTTTTTTTGGATTAATTGCTTTGCTTCCTCAGAAAAATAATTGTAATAATTTTTTTTCACAGGCAACTAATGGAATAGAACCAGAAGAAGGTGAACGAAAGGATATAGAATTATTGCTTGATCAAGCTTTGAATAAACGCGATGAATTGGAAATTGTTCCATATGATCCAAGCTTATTTGCTAATAATAAAGATCAACATAATGGTGATCATAAACAACCAAATCAACAAAACAATAATGAAATTAATTTAGCTAATGCTAATGATAATAATGTTGTTCATGAAGGTTAGATTTAGATTAGTTTCGAAATTTACTTTATCCGATTTTTTTCCAATTTAGATCCTATAATGACGGAAATTGATTTTTGGCCAAAAGATTACAGAGTTGGAACTCCATTATATCTAGATTGTATTGTTCGTAATCAAAGAACCGGTCAGGTAATACCATCGGCCAATGTTGTATGGTATGTTAGAAGCGATATACCGTTATTGGTTGATGAAACCAATCGTCATCATTATATGTTGATGGCCAATAATTCATTATTGGTTTATAATCTAACACGTGGTGATTCGGGTGAATATCGATGCCGTGCAAGTACCGGACCAAAAAGTGATTCATATTCATCCGTTAATTTACAAGTGGAAAGTAAGTGGAAAATTTTATTCGATTTTCAATCTTATCGCTTTCTCTTTTTTTTAGATATTCATATACCGGCCGATTGTCAGGATAGTCCAGTATTTGCCAATTGTGCCACAATCGTACAGATGAATTATTGTAGTAATCCACGTTTCCATGAATTTTGTTGCCGTTCTTGTTACATTGCCGAATATAGTCGACAAAAACCAAACGGAATTTTACAATCGAATGAAATAATCAATCATGATGATCGACAAAATATTCATCCAAAATAAGAAAAAGAAAAAAGAAAATCCGAATGGATGTAAATAAATTGATTCAAAAAAAAGAAGAAATTTCTGGCAAAAATATTCACAAAATTCATCACTTTAAATTTCATGCTGCCATTTTGTATTCTTTCCGGGGGTGTTTAACAAATTTTTTTTTTCTTTCTTTCTTTCATTTTTATCATTCTATTTTAATCACATAATCAAATCTTATAAAATCATGAAATTTGAGCCAAACAACATAACAAAAAAAAGTAGAAAAAAACCGATTCAATAAGCAAAAAAAAAATGACTATCAAGATTCTTTCTGTTGAAAAAAAATTTATCGATTTTAATAAGAAATTTTGAAAAAAATTAAATACAATAAAATCATTGAGCTCACTCTTCCGGTGGCAATTCAGTTTCTAATTTTGATTTTTTTTTTGCAAATTTCAATGTTTATCATTATGGATAAATCAAAAAAAAAGGATTTATCCGGTTGACATGCGACAATCTATAAAAAAATCGATTTTCAATCATCATATGACTCTAAGAATAACAAATTGATTCAAAAAATCATTATTAATCATTTGTTGTTGTTGTTGTTGATAATGGACAATCACGAGTGATGACAATCAACCGATATGATGAGTGCGCGAAAAATTTTTTCTTTTTCCATTGAAATTTTATTAATATAAACAAACGAAACAACAACAACAACAACCCAAAAAAAAGTACACGTTTGATATTTTCAACAACAACAACAACAGAAAAAAATCATTAGATCAATAGGATTTTGTTTTTCATTGGAAATAAAAATCTAGATCAAATTTTCGGATTGACAATGTTCATTCATGTGATACAAACACACACGGACAGACACAGACAAATGTTAATTGTTATTGTCAATAATTATCATTACTTTTCTTCACTTTGATTATAAACTTTAACCGGAACTATAGATTTTTCTATTTTGTGTGACATCATCTCTAGAAAAATTTCGATCAATTCGTGCCATGGATCTTAAAAATGATTTTTTGTTTTGAATAAAGACAATTTTGGTTGAAAAAAAACATAATTTGGATAATGTTTTCAAGATCTAGGCCATCATCATCATTAGCTTTCATTGTTTTTTTTTTGATTTTGATTGCATTTCATTTCGACTAATGGATGAATGATTTTAGGTGGTACATTTTTTTCTCTCTCTTTCTCCCCAATGATAATGATGATAGTGATGGTGATGAATCAACAAGTTGAATGCAATTTTCGTATTTTATAATGTAATCTCTTTTTTTTTACATTCACCCAATTTGTTCAATTAATCGAATGAAATCATCAATGATTTTTTTTGGTATGAAAAAAAGTTTTTTTTCCTTTATTTCTCTATTGACTAAAAATGCCATTTTTAATTATTAACGATAATAATCTGGTGTGTGTCAATCGACCAAAAAAAAACACTAATAGCGATTGTATTGAATAGATTGAATTGAAATGAAAAATATTTCTCATGACAGATTCGATAGAGAGTTATAGAAAGAAATGAGAAAGATGTTTCATTATTTTTATCTCTCTCTCTCTCTCTCTCTCTCTCTCTCTCTCTCTTTGTTTATAATGAATTGAATCAAAAATGAAAATATTTGAAATTGATGATGATGATGATNAGAAAGAAATGAGAAAGATGTTTCATTATTTTTATCTCTCTCTCTCTCTCTCTCTCTCTCTCTCTCTCTCTCTCTTTGTTTATAATGAATTGAATCAAAAATGAAAATATTTGAAATTGATGATGATGATGAACATTTGAATGAAATGATGAAAACATAAAAATGTGATTTGTTAACTGGATGATCAAAGGGTTAATTTTTTTTTCTCTATTCAAAGAGAAAATTTTTCTTTTTATCATTCTGTTTAGAGAATCTATTTATGTTTGCACAAGATAGAAAAGAAATAACATTCAACAAACCAAAAACAAACTTGAATGATTTGATTTGTATTGAATTGAATTGAATTGAATTTGTTTGTTATTATCATCATCATCAAACATTGTTTACCGTATTTGAAAATAACAACAACAAGATAGAAGCGCCAACAGCGATAGTCGTCTCCCGTACCAAAAAAAAAAGAAAAAATCATAGCAAAAGAGAACATTAACCTCATTTACACCATAAAACACAATACAATATTACAATGGCCAAAATAAATTCCAAACAGACTAAAGGTAAACCTGAAAAAACAGATAATAATAATAATAATATTTTTCTTTCTGTTGAATGGATGGATGCATCTTTATAATAATGTCTTGCTCTCGTTCTCTCTCTCTCCATGTGTGTGATATAACCATCATCACACCACCCCCAAATACGGGCGACAACAAAAGATTTCTTCTCATCAACAACAATGCAAGTCTCGTTTTCTTGAAAGAAATTCATTTAAATTTTTTTTTTTTGGAATTCATTATTATTATATCATTGTGCGATCATTCCTGATTATAATGTTATAAAAAGAAGAAGAAAAAAAAGAAAAAAAAATGAATGGGACATATCATCATCATCAAATGGACAACAACAACAACCACAAATGATATCATCCAGAAAATAATAATAATAATAATAAAATTGTAATCGTGCCATTAAATTGGTTAAGACCATAATGTTGTTGTTTGGAGAAGAAGATGATTATATTTGAAACACACACACACACAGAATAATAAGAGAAAAAAATATCATGACTTTTGGATATTTTTGTTTAAAAAAAATTCGCTTGCATTCAACCCGTGTGTGTGTGTGATGAATGAATTTTTGAATTGGAAAAATAATTTGGCCTGAATTTTGTTTATTTTCGCTGAAAGAGAATGACCTGAATCTTTTTGTTGAGATTTTTTGTTTTGTTTCCAACTTTAGTCATGTCAAAAAATGATGATTCGAATCAAATTTGGTAAATATCCAATATGAATGAAGATACAACGCCTAGTCTGGTCAGCCGGCCGGCTTTATGATGAATTTTTTTTTGTTTACCGTTGCAAATTTACAAATCAATAAAAAAAAATTCAATTTATTTCTCTTTTTGATTTTATTTTCGCTTTTTTATTTTATTTTTAAAAAATGATAAAGGTTTTGGGTGTTAGATTTATCGATTTTTTTCATTTTTGAGAAAAAAACTGTGTTTGTGTGTGTGGGATACAGATCTTTATTTAGATGGAACAAAAACATTAATTTCATGTTTTACAAATTGTTTTGTTTTGTCAAAGAGAAAAAAAGAAAATTACATTTAAATTGAAATCAAATTCAATTTCGAATGTTTTTTCATTTTTCTTCTTCTTTCACTTACAAATATCGATTGTATCGGTGATGGTCGAATCGTGATGGAATTTGATTCGAAATTCTTCGAATTACAATCATTGTCAAACATGATCACCACACAATGATTTGATCATTAAAATTTTTTTGACTTGAAAAAAAAGGATCAGAAATTAAATTCCTGGTTTAGCGATTTAAAAGAGAAGAGAATTATAAAATAAAATTTAAAAAAAAAATTTCGGAAAATAAAAGAATTTAAATAATTTTTTGTAAATGAAAAAAAAAATCAAAGATCAATCAAGATTTCGAATGAAGCAAAAAAGAGAAAAATTTGTAAAACAAATTTCAAGCTTTTGGTGCTTCATTTTCTGCTGGTGCAGCTTCCGGTTGTTTGGATGGACATGATGATGATTTACCATCACAACAATCTTCTTTTTGGCATTCAGCAGCAGGTTTTGATGGACAAACAGCTACACCACCTGGTACATTCGATGGTAATGGTTTAGTTTCATCAGCGACAGCTGCAGCTGGATTGACGGCTGGAACTTGTTCATTGGTTGAAGACATGATGATGTTTATGATAAAAAATGTGTTTGATTTTGAAAAAAAACAACTGAAACAAATGAAAAAAAACAAGCGAATAAAAATTAACAAACGAAAAAGTCGAATTGAAGTAAAGTAAACTTTTTGAACGAATAATAGTTGAATGATTGAAACAAATGATGATGGTCGAATCCTTTTTATACTATTTTTTCTTGGTCGGTCAAAATGAACGCCCAACTTATTGTCTGTTTTCGTTATTTCTCTTTCTCTCACTCTTTTCTCTTATCCTCGATTCAATTCAATCAAATTCCGACAGATATTACATGTACATGGCACATACCATTAACCATGACTACTATCATATCAAAAATGATGTCGATCCGGTCCGCCGACGATAACTATGAAAACTATGATAATAATGATGATGATCTCTAGATAAAATATAGCCAACCAATGATGATTATTATCATCATTCAAAAACATTATTATGTATGATGATTAGTCATCAATTGAAACTCTCTTCCGTTGTGTGTGCATAATATTGTTACGTTATGTATTTAGATTGGTTGCCTAGATGCCATATCCATGGATATGAATGAAAATGATAAATGCAATTTAATGAATGCAACAGGTTGCAAGATTTTTTTTTTCTCGATTGTTGTTGCTTGGTTATCAACAATTTGCAGCAACAATGTAATTGATTCTCGTTCTTTTTTTTTGAATAGAAAATATTCCATTGTGATGAATGGAATGGATTGATTGATTGATCAAATACAAAATGATTTATAACAAACAATTGATTATTTTATTTGTTCATTGTTTTGCATTGAAAAAGTGAATGATAGTGGATGGCGGCGGTGATGGCGGTGATCTCGAATTTTCCATTTTGAAAAGGCGTTTTTTTCATCAACAATTGATATTAGCTGGCGACAACACCGATGATTGTCGGCGACAACCAGGATTTGTTTATCGAATGTTTTTTTTTTTCTTATTATTTCTTTATTCTCGGTAATAAATATGTAATCATCATTAACAACAACAGAAAAAGAGAGAAAAAACCAGTGATAAATTAGTTTGTTTTTTGGTTGAAAAAATAGATTTTTTTGGTTTCGAATAAGGATGATGATGATAATAGAAAAGATTAGGAAATAATAGCAATCCTTTAATTCTGTTTAAATTTTTATTTGTTTATCGTTGTCATCGTCGTCGTTGTCGTTGTCGTTGCTGTTTGTCCTATTCTAGTTTTTTTTTCATCGGAAATTTTTTTTTCTTGATTTTGCTGTTCTAACGGACAACGAAAGGTCGAATGACCCGGGCGAGTTTATTGTGAATGGTGAATGGATATGGTGGGAATATCTGAGTATGGTTGGTTAAGTTGATAAAGCCAACAATCATCAAACAACAACAACGGATTATCAAACAAAACAAAATTTTATTTACAAATACTATTATCAATATGGATTCAAAGATTATCTTTTATATATTAATAATAAATCAATCAAACAGTCTGTTTTTTCTGGTTGTGAAAAGAATGTGAAAAAAATTCCATTGAAAAAAAAAAATATTCAAGATTGTTGCCATAATTCTCATTGATTGAGAATTTTTTTTCTTTTTCCTAAGAAATTATCCTGAGAAATATTTTTGGAATGAATATTTTTAACAACAACAACGGATAAAATTTCAGTTAAAATTTTTTCACTTGAAAGGTTTGGCAAATTGATTGAATAAAAAATAATAATAATTTTATTCATTGAAATCGGTTAATCTCGAACAAAATAACTGAAAAAAAATCCAATCCAATCCATTGATTTGACAGACCAAACCACACCAAATTCAAGATATTTTTATTCAACATTTTTTGTTTTCGGTCAATATCGATCGATCGATCGATCGATTGATCGACTAGCCGGCCGGCCGGCTTGTTGACCGATAAGAAAAATAAAAAATAAATCAAAGACAGCCAACAGACAGTTTGTTTTTTTTCTTTTCTCCCTGTCTACGACGATGTTGATGATTATCATGGTGAATTAAAGAAAGAAAAATAAAAATAACGATCATCATCAATTGGCTAAATCGGGCTATTTTTTGTTTTGATTGATTGATGTTCTCTCTTCTCACTACCTCCTACAACATGAAATTTTTGTTGTTGTTGTTGTTGAGAAAAGTGAATATTTTTTCTTCTTCTAGCCGAATGAACTGTATCAATGATAATTTTGAGGAAAAAAACGAAAGATTTATTTTGTCGGCTTTTTTGGTTTTTTTCTGTTTGTAAGCTTGATAATCATGTCGGTAATTGAATGAATGATATGCGATTATTATTATTTTTTTTTAAATTCTTCCACTCCTCTTTTATAATTAACTATTTCGACTCAATTTTAAGTTTGAAAAAAGAGTGCCAAAAAAAAAATTATCAAAGATTGATCACTCAATTCGAAAAAAGAAGAGATTTTTGTTCATTTCTTTTTTCTCACATGGGTCAATCGGAAATGATCGATGAAAAAAATAAAAACAGTTTGATCGATTGATTCATGTCGATGGAATGTGTCTGTTTATTTATTTTTTCATTATCAAATCATGATTTGATTTTGATGAATTTTTCCAAATTACATAACAACATTTTTTTTCTAAAAATTATAAACAAACAAACTAAAAAAGATGATTAATATTTCCGTTTTGGATTGTTCGAGAACATATTGAGTGTTTTTCTATAGCAACTCTTTTGATCTATATTAAGTCCAAATAGTTTTATAATTTGGATCAGCAACAAACCCTGGGAAATTTCCGGATTTGTAAATGTTCATTTATCATTTTCTTCAATTCGGCCAATTTCGGTTATAATTATGTTAATCGAATGATTGCAATCGATAATTAACACAATTGACAAAATATAATTGCAACAATTCTATCCGTTTGTTATCGATTTTTTTTTTGGATAAAAATAACAACAACGACAATTTCATCCATCAAATGTAACCCATCCATTATCGTTTAATAAATAATGAATTTTTTTTTGCCCGGATTCCAATGAAATATGAGAATAATATCGATAAACAAGTAACAATTTGATCATGTTTTTTTTTAGTTAAGAGTTTTGGAAAATTTCCATTACAAAATATGAAAATGTCGCGCCAAAAAAGAAAAAAAAAATTTCCTTTCCACATTTCTTTCATTCAGACAATATAAATGTCAATGTAAATATAGAGAAATTTCTTATTACCGGCCGGTGTTTTTTTTTAAATCTAATATACGTGTAACAACAACCACATTGTTCACCATGGATATCAAATTTATTCAAAGATAATAATCATCAATGGATAAAAAAAGACATTGATTGAGAACAATGATATAATGATCTACATCAATAATAAATTTTACCTATACATCTTTTTTTTCCGATTATATAAGGAATGTATGTGTATAGATCAACAGGTGTTTCATATTTTAGCTCATCATCATTATCAACGATGCAACTATATAGGTGATTATCGGTGTGGGGAAAATGAAATATTTGAATGAAATAGTAATAGGTAGGGCGTTAAAATATAGGAGAGAAAGATGGTAGCAATATTGCTGTTTTTTTTTCGTTTGATTGACACAAACACTTATACTGTTATCATTGAAAAAAACCATTCATTTTTTCCCCCTCGAACGATTGCATCATTTAAATGAAAAAAAAAAATTTTCTGCAATAATTTTAATTGATTTTGAAGAATTGTTGAAACAAAACAAAAATGATAATTAATCATGATGAATCATTATCAAATACCAAATGAAATTTGGGAAATTTCATATTTTTTTCCCATTAGCTGAAGTTCGTTTGAGATTAACCGGTCAACAACAACAACAAAAAACGTTGACTTAATCAAAATGGAAACAAATACGGAACAACAACAACAACAACAACAAAAATTCATTAAATTCAACCAAATAAGGCAAATATTATCACCTTTTTTTCTCATTCACACCATACTTTTTTTTTGATGAAAAAAGTATTTCGCGAATAAATAACGAACGGAACTTGTTCATCATGATGATGAAAAAAAAAACGTTCGAATTGAGTCATTGCTTTTATGGAAAATTTTCACATCATTAAACAAAAACAACAAAAATAATAATTTTTCTTTATCTATTCAATTTTTTTTCATAAAATAAACATTTTCAATCTACATAGTTATGTTTTCATTTAGGAAATATAATAATCTTGTGTTTAGTTTTTTTGTTTTGGAAAAAAATTCTACAATTTAATAACCCGGTCGTTATATTTTTTTTTTGAATTCAAGAAAATGAAATTTTACTACCAATGACAACAGGCAAAAGAACAACCATAATATTTTTTTTTTATATAATAAATATAAATCAGAATAATAAGGACGGACAATAATTAAAGAAAGAGAAAAAAAAACAACAGGTATGCACTAAAATACTGTGGAATGGATTTTGTTGTCGTTGTTTGTTTGTTGGCTTTTTATACAGTTCACAATCAATAATTTCGAAAGAAAAAAAAATTGTCATCAAAAATATAGCGAAAGAGAAAGTTAAGAGAAATAAAATGGAAAATCTGATCTTTGAATTACATCTGCATCTTTTCAACAAAAAAAATTTATCACCTGTCTGTTTGTTTTGTTTTGTTGTGAGTGTTCAATTTGACATATTTGGATTTCTTTGAATGATTTTTTTTGAAATGAAAGAGTACGGAAAAAAATGTTCAATTTTGTTGAAAATATTCTGAGTAAAGAAAGAGAAAAAAATCCACAACCACTAGTTTCAAGTTTAATGATGATGATGATGATGAGATAGAAAAAATGAATAAATCATCAAATGAATACGAATTTATGATGAAAAAAATGAAAGTTTTGAAAACATTGAGAATAATCTTGATAATGAATTGATTTGAAAAAAAATTACATCGAAACTTCGAAAGCTTTAATCATCTGCCTATTAGTGGTAGCCGCCGTCGTCGTTGAAATTGTTGCTTGAGAAGTTGATGATGATGTTATATCAGTTGTTGTTTTAACAGTTTCCATTATTGAATCGAAAGACTTTGTATTGTTATTGATGTTGACATCATTTCCAAATTGTGTTTGACTTAGATCAAGAAATGGATTCGTACTTTTAAATTTGGTTGTTGATTCAGCTGCCGTTGTTGTTGTTGTAGTTGTAGTTGTCGTCGTTGGTAATATTGATTTCGATGTCATGTTCCAATCATCCCGAATCATTGTTGTTTCTAGAAATGGATTCTTTGTATGGCTTGTGCCATTATCATTTTTCGTCGTTGTTTCTGATGATATGCTAAAATTTTTTGATATTGGCACTGTCGTTGACGTATTCATTGGATTTTGCTGTCGAAGCATTGTTGCGGGCGATTCTGTTGATGATAATGATGATGAACAAAAGGCCGATAATGTTGAAAATAAAGGCGATGTTGATGATGATGGTTGTGTTAATTGTGGGGGTGGTGGCGGAGCACAAACTTGTGGCATTTGATCTACAACTGCAGGTGGAATCAAAGGCATTGTTGTAGTCGTTGTCATTGTTGTTTTTATTAAACCATTCAATGATGATCCAGAACAAGCAGCTATTCCTGAATCCAAGCTACCAGTATTTAATTGTTGGCTTAAAGTATCAGATTTTTGATCCATATTTTGTTGAGCAGTCGTCGACGATGCAGATGTTTTGCTCGATATCCATTGATCTATCAATAATTAAGTGAAATCAGATTAAAATGATCAAAAAATATTTAACAGATAAAAACAAACCAATATTTGAAAATGAAAATAAAGAATTGGCATCTTTGACCAGATGATTAAGACCAGTACCATTCAATTTATTATTTTGTGCTGTGGATGATTGACGATTTGACAATGGTGAAAAATGTTTTTTTCCATCACCACTCAGATCATCTGTTTGTGCAGTCAACGGCCACGTTGTTTGATTATTTACATCGTCTTCGTTCTTGGCGCTTAACATACTTAAACCCTGTGATAATTGTTGACACATGGCTGTTATGATTGCAGAATTTGATTCTTCAGCTTTTGTGTCAGACGTAATTGATTTATCAATTATGGATGGTGATACTTCTTGGATTGGAGCAACTATAAGAAGTAAAACTATTAATTGAATGATTTTTCATTAATTATAAATAACATACCAGATGGTGTTAACGAAAGTTTTTGCAACAAATCTGGCCGTTTTGTTTCAGGTATAGGCTCTTCAAATGCTGCTAAATCTAATGAATGAGCACGATTACGAATCGGAATGTTGTTTTCATTTGAAATCGATTGATTAGTAGGACTGCCATTAGTTTTGGTATGAGAATTAATAGGAGATGATGTCAATGATGATGATTTTAATGGATCATCAATTGATGAATCAGTTAATGAATTAAATCGTAATGATAGCTGCCGTTTAAACGGTGATGCATGATTTAATGGTCCACCACGTAATGAACCTTGTCGTTGAAGTAGGTTTGCCGTTGCATGTGGCCTTGCCACTGCATATGGATTATGTACTGGTTGCTTCACCGGAACAGGTTCTATTAAAAAAAAGTAAGCCATTTAAATTTATCAAATTGAAACCAAATTAAAAAACAAACCTGATGGCTTTGCAACTTGTGGATCTTGTAAACGTTCAGTAATTGATGATTGTCGAAACGATCCAGTACGTGTGAAATTATTTGCATCTAAAATTGCTGATACAGATTCTTTATCCCGTTTTTGTTTACGTTCTAAACATATATTGAACGCACAACCAACGGCATGACTAAGACGTTCACCAGAATCTTTGGTTGCATGAAATCCATGACACATCCATCGTCGAGTGGTACCATCACGACAAATGTATGAGAATCCACGTTCATGACTTCGATCCGGTGCACAGAATGATACCTTTTCGATAGTTTGATCAACAATCAAACCCTATGATAATGATTGAATAAAAATGAGAAAAAAAATTCTTGATAAAAATGAAAAATATACCTTGGTATCATCATCGACAACACGTATACCATCACCAGTAACATATAATTGTCCTTTGACGCCACGTCTTCTTGAATTCTATCCGAATTACAATTGATTAAAATATTGTTTTTAAATTTCAATTTTAATAATCTTACCCTTAACCTACGAAGTGCATCTTCACATATTTGCATACCACGTGATTCATATACTTCAACACAGCCAAGATATTTAACATGAAATACACAGGTACCAGATCTTACTGATTGTTCATCCGATTGCCATTGATGTGGTTTCTGTGATTCGGTTATAATATCGGGTTTTTTCTTACGAAATGAATTACGGAATGATTTCCGAATACGATCCATTACTAATCATTATCGAAAAAACAGAAGCAAATACGAAATTAACAATTTTTGTTTTCAATTCCAACAAAGTAAACGTAGATCGGTTGAAACAAAACAAAAAAAAAACAATGATCAACAAAATAAATAATGAAAACCTTCAATCAAACAAACACACAAAAACACAAGATACAGATGAATGGATTCAATCATCATACAACATATACACTATTCAGATAATCATTTCGCATTATATACATAGAAAATACGTTGAAAACTCAGACTCGATAATCAAACACAAACACACACATCGACATCGACAATCCTACCTTTGAATGATGGTGGCATTGTTGATGATTGTCGTTTGTCTATTTTTTTTTCTTCAAGGACTTTGACAAAAAATTAAATTGAGAAAAGTCTTTTCTATCGTTTGTTCAATTCGATTGTTAGATATATATAATATTTTCCAGTGGAAAAAAAGAAATCGAAAGAAATAGATGATGATAATGATCATGGATTGAAGAAAAAGTGAAATAAGAAAACAAAAACGGGTTTAAAGCCCGATGGCAATTGTTCCGAAATGATGATTAGTCATCATTTTCATTGATAATCATTAAATGGTCATCATTTGGACAACAAAAAAAAATTTGGCGATAATCATAAAGAATTGAAATATCAAACAAATAAAAATCAAAAACGAATCAAATGGATTAACAAACAAAATAGCCCTTAGTTAATCAATGTAGTTAATCATGACAACAACAAACACAATGTCATCAAAATCATTATCGTTTTTGAAGAAGAAAACAAAAAAAAACTACGAAATCTAATTCTAAATTTAAACCGCAAAACGTAATGATGAAAAAAGCTGATATTTTTTTTTTGCTACTACAACCATATGATGATATTATTAAAAAAAGCAGAAAAAGTTGAAACGAAATTAATTCAAATTCTGTCAACAAACAAACAAACAACAACAACAGTACAGTGCACTAAATAGAATCATTATTATCCAATGATGATGACAACGGAAATTTTTTTATTTAGGAAAAACCGACCAACAACTAAACGATAAAATGACATTATTTGACTTTTTTTCTTCTTCTTCTTCTTCTCCCCATTAACCAAATTACACTCCCATCGTCGTTGTCGTCAAGATTTTCTCTATTTTTGTTAATGCTTTTCCTTTGAACATATAATAATCATAATAATAATTTGTTTTTTCTCTGTTGAGAATGATGCCAGTCTTTTTTTAAAGAGAAAGAGATATAGAGGATGATACCAGAAAATAAAAAATCAAAAGAAAAAAGAATGTCATAAGCAAACACTACACACACAAACTATGAGTATATATTGAAACATCCGTTGTCAATGATGATAAAGCAATTGAATCAAGAGTACACCTGTTTAACTTGAAAACCCAAAAAATCTTTGTTGTTTGTAAATGTATCCATGTTTTGTTTTCATTACAAATACCGATATATAATTTAGAATGATGATGGATAAAAATCACACGTGTCAATGATTTATACAGTTTTTTTTAAATAAAAATTTTTGTTGTAAAAAACTGATGATGAACTTTTATTATACAATAAAATTTTCTTATGTAGGATGATTCAGAACAAGATGATGATATCATCACAAATAGGGCCTATTTTTTTCCATTCTCTTTCATAATTTTGGCCTCATTTTTCTAAATCTTTTCTAATTTTCTTTGTCAAATGAGTCTGTGTATGTGTGTGTGTGTTTGTGGCAGAGATTATTCCATTACATTATGAAAATGATTTGTAGCAAATAAAATAATCCGACAAAATGTACTTTATAATGAAAAAAAAATCAATTTGAAATGATTTCCAGATACCAAAAAAACCAACAACAACAACAACAAAAATCTTACCAAATTTTTCACGATGATTTGATCGTTTACCAGTATTATTTGATCTTGGTAATACTGGTGTCTGATGTTGTGGATGTATATTATTATTGTGATGATTATGATGATGATTAGATGATGATGTCGATGGACCACTAATAATACCATTGGATGATTGTTGTATATTATTTTTATTATTATGCATATTGCTATTTATAAGAGTAGATGATGATGATGGTAAACGATCAGTTGTAGCTGATATACCAATTCTAGAATTATTATTATTCGATGTTAAATTATTATCATTTAATTGATGTTGTTGATGTTTATTAGTTTTATTATTTTTTCGATTATTATGTTTACCACCCATATGGAATGATCGTCGTATTGATATATTACGCATTGATAATCTTCTTTTAAATGGTCCATGTTTAACATTGATAAATGTATCTCCACCACCATAACCACTATTCGACATGCCAACTAAATCACAATTCGGTCCATCCGATTGATTTCTAAATTGACTATGTAATGTTGAATTTTTATGACCCATGATGATGATGATGAATTTATTTCCAAATCACAACACAAATTGAAAAAAATTGATAATGATAATAAAAATAATGAAGATGGAATCAAAAAATTACAAACAGACACAAAGCTGATTGATCTATTCTAATTGAAACGAATGGAATGATATTGGTATAATTGCACACATTTAAAATCACCATTTATATGAAAATATTGATTTGTCTTTTTTGGGAAATTCTTTGCGGAAAACAATGAGAATAATGATGAATCAAATTACGGAAGTAGATAATACGATTATGATCATCATCATCATCAATTTGTTATGCGATTATTTCAACTGTTCGTTTTTTTTTTGGTTTGATTTGTCTTGACGACCAAAAAAACAAAAATATCATGATGCGGAGGTGTTTGTGGAAGTGGAATATTAGCAAATAAAAAGTTTCTAAGGAAATAAATCAGCATGAAACTTTATCGTAGAGAAAATTTCCGATTATTATTGTTTAGAAAAAAAATTATGACGTAACAATCAATCCATCTTGATCATTCCATTATCGAAAGTTATGTTTTTTTTTCTCGATTCGAATTGGTTCTTGAGTTGTTGATGGGAAATTAATAGAGAGAGTGAGAAAAAAAATACGGGAAAACTAAGAACAGAAAAAAAACGAAAACAAAATAAAACAAAACAAAAATTAATTTAAAAATCAAAATAATAAATAATAAAAAATCATCAGGTTAAGGGATTAAGGTAGAACAGACAGTAGTTGAAATAAATGAAAAAAAAATTTAAAACATGGATTTAAATTTTAAAACAAAACAAAAAAAACTAATTTACATAATTTCATCATCATCATCATCTTTTTTTAAAAAAGAAAATGCAAAGACGGCACCCACAAATGGCTGATGTACGAAGATATAAACACCGACGTAAATGTTCATTTAAAATTACAACAACAACAAATTATAAGATTCAACGCCCATATGAAAAATAATAGAAAAATTCTCATTACATAATATGATGATGACCTTATGTAATCATTTTAATCATAAAATGAAAATGTTTGACCGCTACCACTACTATCATTATCATCATCAAAATTATCATCATAAATCGAAATGTCAACCCAATGTTTGTGTGTGTGTGTGTGAGTAGGTAGACAAAACTAAAGATAATCAGTTTTTAGGAAAACAAACACATAATATTTCGAAAAGTAAATGAAGAATGCGAGAAAATTTACGATTTTTTCTTTTGGTTCTCTGATTTGACAAAATGACATTTTCAACATTTGTTTTTTTGTATGCAAAACAGGCATACATCACACCTAAAAAAATAATTTAACAAACGATTAAAAGTGAGAGAGAAAAAACAGTAACAACAACAACAAAGACTAAATGTCATCAGATTTTGGATATATCGAAGAAAGGTAAACAAACACACATTCCTAAACCCAATCACACATTGCAAATAACCTTGATTTTTTTCTCTTTCTCTCTTTATTTGATTAAAAATATTTAATTATCCGACACATAAATCACATCGAACAAATGCAACCAAAAAAAAAGTGAAAAAAAAGGTATTCAAAATTTAATGCCATATGGCGGCTTTCTGTTCAACACGAACAACAGAAAAAGATAGAGCCAAAACGGTTATCATGAATTATATTTAATGTTTTTTTTTGATTCATTCGTTTCATCAATTTTAATTCATTTCATTTTTATCATCATCACACATGTTTCTATCATTTTTGTTTTGTTTTTCTTGGAAAAAAAAAAGATATATTCAAATAGATTTTGATTCGAGTAGAAATAGAAAATGAAGAAGGAAACAAACGAATAAACAAACAAGGAAATTGAATCATTTCATACGGAAATAATAGAAAAAGTCTATAGAAAAAGATGAATATAAATAAAAAACATTGATGTTAAAGTGAAACAAAAAAAGAGACAGATGATAAATGATTCAAAACATCGAATCGAATCGAATCGATGTGATTTTTAAAAAAAATAAAAATAGATTCTTAAACAAATCAATTAGCTTACCATCAAATGTTTCTTCCATAATATTTTACTTTTGATGTCATTATTTCAAATAAAATATTCATAATCGTTGATTGAAAACAAAAAACAAACATTTAAAAAAGTAAAGATTTCTTTGGTGATGATGATGATATTATCTTTGGATAAGATTGTTTTTGGTTGAGAATTTTTTTTGGAGTCTTTGCTTTTGGGCAAAATTTTTTTGTTCATCGATTGATTGTCGAATGGAAATTTTTGTCATTTAGTTTTTCTTCATGCTGATTATGGGAAAAAAAGGCACGACATTTACATAAAGTTATTTTTTTTCCTATTTCAAAGCAGAAAAATTTTATAATCAGAATTTCTTTCACGTTGTTTGATTTGATTTGAGAATGGAAATTTTCGATATAGAATTTCAGAGAGAAAAAAAATCCTAGATCACAGCCAAAATGATGATTCATGTAAATTATTTCGTTTTTTTTGCTACGAAATATATTCTGGATTCACAACCAAAGATATAATAGAGCGAGAGACACAAATTCAAATTTTTTTTTTTGTTGCACAACCGTCGGTAGTTTCGTCGAAGAAAAATTCTATTTATTTGTCATCAATCAATTTGAATGAATTTCATTATAATATCTTGATTGATTGATTTGAATAAAAGTTCAATAACAAAAACAAACAAAGAAAAATAATTAATTTCGGTTAAAGAAATTGAACCCGAAAAAAAATGACAAAAACTTACCTAATCAAAATGATGACATTCATTTGGGATTTGTTTCATACTGAAGAAAATCAGTAATAATGATATAATGAATTGAACTTGATGAAGCAAAAAAAAAACACGATGATAAAGAAAAATTAATCAAATAATGTTATCATTTTTCTAATTAAGAAGAAGCAAAAAAAAAACGACATCAATATCTTTTGATTGATTTAATCGAAAATCAATGATGATGATGATAATTTTACTTTTCGAAAAAAAATCCCAATCCCTAAGATATGAAGGATTGAAAAAACACACCAGACATTTACATCTACATTTACAACAACAAAATACGAAAGAAAAAAAGAAAAGAAAAGTTGAATTCATGCAATATACACACTAAAACATAAGATGCATCAATATATTCGAATGATGATGATGATTTTTTTCAAAATGCAATAATTGCCACGAAAAGAGATGATGATCAAAACAACAAAATTGGACAGCTATAGGTGATGTTTTCGCCTTCTTTTTAATTTCTTCAATGTTGTCGAATCGAGTATATTCGATGATGATGATGACGAAGATGAAGAAAATCAAGTTTTTTTGTTTCCATCATCATCATCATCAACAGGATCGTTGTCTTCTCAATGTTATCCTCATTTCCATTATCAAAAAGATTTGTTGTTATTTGGGAGAACAAAAAAAAAAGTTTTGGAAGAATAATCAAGTTGAATCAATCATTTGAAAATTTGAAAAATTTTTAATAAAATTGATGAAATGATCCAAAAAACTTTACAGAGAATAATGAACATTGGTTGGTTGAATAAAACAAAAAAAAACAAAAAAAAATTATTGCCAAAAGAAGAAAAAAAGTTCAACTGTCAAGCGCGTTTCCTCATCATATATCTTGTTGATGTTTACATTCGAATCCCTTTAGTGTCCAGATTTGGCAGAAGAAGCATTAAGAATTGAATGAAATTTTTTTTTCTTTTGGAATCCATATCATTGTGTCCATCTTATTCATGAACCACTACCTTTGTTCCTAAAATGCTCAGCTTGTGTCCGCGTATACAGAACTCATATATCTCGCATCATTCATTTACATATACAATATACAGTGATTGCTCGATTTACGGATGTTTATTTGAAAAAATATATCAAAAGGAATATTTTGATAAATTTAAGAATCATGTCATTCATTTTTATTAAAAAAAATTCTTTATTCGAAAATTACTAATAAATTTCATTTAATAAAATTTTTCACCTGTGATTCAAGTGCCTGTAACACTTTTCGTGATACACGTATCTGACCGGATACTGGATCACGACCAAAATATTTTACAGAAATTTGACTACCAACATCAATATCTAATGCGGATGGATGATCAATTTTTCGAAGATCTAATTGTGATAAATGTAGAAACACTGGTTTCATTGCCGGATGTAATTGTATCATAATTCCATTATCTTTAATTTCGACAACTTTACATTGATAGATGGCGCCGAATTCTAATTCCGGAATATTAGGTTCACGAAGAACTTTTTCAATCCATTCTTTTGCTTCATTCATTGCTGCTTCATTTGGTGCAAATATAGTGAATTTATCAATATCTTCTAAATCTTGATTAATACTAACACCAGTTTCGGCCATTAATTTTTTTGCTTTTGACCAACCAACACCAAGAAATTTCGAACGTTTATTAATCGGTACTTGTATCTGTTCAACCATAGGCATTGTTTCTTTGGATTTTTTTCTTGGTTCCATTATAACATCATTCATTATATTCAATATATGACTTCTTGCTTGATTAGATTTTTGTATAGCTTCATAAAGAATTTTAAATGATAAACCTTCTTCAAGTTTACAATCCAATTGTAAGGCAGTGAATGCTTTTCTTGTGCCGGCTATTTTAAAATCCATTTCACCAAAATAATCTTCCAATCCACTGATATCGGTTAAAATAATATTTTCTTGTTCTTCATTGTTTTCATTTTTTGGTGGTTTCAATAGACCAATAGCTACACCTGATGCTGGTGAAGAAATTTCAATACCAGCATCAAGCAATGCCAAACTACCTGCACATACACTTGCCATTGAACTTGATCCATTTGATTCTAAAACTTCACAAAGCAATCGAATGGTAAAATCATTAGTAGTCACTGAATCGTTTGGAATGATTGGTCTTAATGCACGTTCAGCTAATGCACCATGACCAATTTCTCGTCGTCCAACATTACCGGATCGGCCTATTTCATTTGTAGCATATTGTGGAAATTCATAATGTAGCATAAAATTTTTCTCTTTAATGCCCTGAGTTAATGCTGAAATATTGTCGGCACGCCATGTTGAATCTTGTGAATCAATTGTTGTCGTACAAAGTACCTGTGTTTGTCCACGTTGAAATAATGCCGATCCATGAACTGGTCGAAAAAGATCAACTTCACAATGAATAGGTCGAATTTCATCCACACTACGTCCATCACAACGAATACCAGTTTTTTGAACCATTTGGGCATATATTTGTTTAATCACAGTAGAAAAAGCATCTTGTAATAAGTTGGTCGAATCATCGGTAAATTCTTCGGTTAATGTAGACATAACTTGTTGCCTTATATCAAATAATGCTTGATCACGTGAAAATTTATCATGTGAATGATTGGAAAATACATCCAATATTCGTTGTTCAGCTAACATTCTTATCGCATCAAAATGTTGTTGGCCGGGCATTGGAATTTCTTCCACCGAACGTTTCGGTTTTCCCACTTCTTTTTGAAGCTGGCGAATATTTTGAATGATAAGTTTTGCTTCTCTAATTGCCTTTGAAATAGATTTGATTAAATATTGTTCTAATACGGGTTCATTTGCAAATGCTTCCATCATAAGAACATTTCCAGCTTCATTCACAGTCAAAATGAGATTCATACGTGCATTATTCATTTCTTTTCTTGTTGGATTTGTTACGACATCATTATTTTGATCTAAAGCAACACATACGGCTCCTATTGGTCCATTCCATGGAATATCCGAAATGGCCAAAGCAGCTGAAGCAGCATTGATGGCTAAAATATCTGGATCATTTTGTCCATCCAATGATAACATATTACAAACAACTTGAGTTTCACCAGTCAATCCACGTGGAAACAACGGTCTAATCGATCGGTCAATAATTCGTGATGTTAATATTTCTCTTTCCGTAACACCGATTTCACGTCTTAGATGATGCATTGGAATTCGACCAGCTGCAGCTGCTTTTTGTCGAAAATCAACTGTCAATGGAACAAAACCAGTGAATCCAGTTCCACTTTTGTTTGGTGATTTTCCCACAACTGTAACCATAACATTTGTATCACCAACCGTACAAACAGCACAGCCATCAGCAAGTTTTGCCAATTTACCGGTAGAAATTTTTAATAAACGACTATAAACCAATGACAACAAATTTTAAATTATTAGTATGAATGAAAATTTTGAATTTTTCAACAAAAATTGCCTATTACTGAATTGGAATCGAACTTCATTTCCTCGATTCGAAGCAAAATTTCTCCATTGTCGATAATCATTTTTAATCAATGATTTGATGAGAATTTTCCATACATTTTTCTGTCTATAGTGGAACATGTCGAATCTTTTTAAAATTAATTAAAATGATCACATGGAAAATATTCAACAACATGGTCTGATAAATTGTGAAATTTTAAATGCACGCCATCTGATGTTTCAACAAAAATTTTCGATAAAGATTACTGATTGAAGAAAAAGTTCCATGGAAAAAAAATGATTTTTTTTTCCTTTCATTCACAATAATGTAATTTTGGCGCCCAAAACGTTTTCTTTGTCAGTCGATAAACACTGCCACAATTTTGTTTTAATCATAGTTTTTGATCAGATTCGATAAAAAAACATGACTCAAGCGATTGAAAAGGAAAATTTTGAATTAGATCTTCGATTTGCTCATATTGATGGCCATACTGAATTGGATTTTGTCCCAAATAAAAAGTAAATCGATTCAAAAAATCAAATATTTTAAATTCAAATTTATTTTATTTGTTTGTATAATTTAGTGCAATTATAACTATTGGTCGTGATTGTGATGTAAGACTTTGGTCGCTAAATCCCGATGATTATGGTGTACAATCATCATTTCCAGTTGAAGATTTTCCTTATGCTGTTTTGGCTACTGTATGATGGATGTTTTTTTTTCTATGTTTGTTAGTTTTTAAAATAAAATAATCTATTTCAGAATGATCGAGCATTTGTAGCATTGGAAAGTAATGCTGTCAAATCATTTCAATTGGATGAATTGGCTGGAGAAGATGAAACAATGGTCTGTCGTTTTACATCAAATGCCACTTGTCTTTCATTTCATCCTGATCATGAACTTTTAGCTGCTGGTGCTGCGTAAGTTTTTGCATTTAATTTCTCAGAAAAAAAATTTCATCAATTTTTGGTTTTTAGCGATTTTTCCATCAAATTAGTTAATCTTGTTGATCAATCCACTAAAATTCTGGAAGGTCATCAAGGACCAATTCTTACTGTTGCTATTGATCCTTTACGTAAATATCTTGCATCTTCATCATGTGATGGTTGTGTTTTTATTTGGAATATTGAAACCAAAAAAATTGAACATAAATGGCATGCAGTTGGACGGAAATCAAATGATTTTAATAATTCAAAAACCCTGTGTAGAATATGTTGGGAACCACAAATCGGTGAATTTCTTGCCATTCCTTGGGAATCTTCAGTACAATTATATCGACGTGGACAATGGGATGTTCCAAGTACTGTTCTTAAGCATTCTTTACTGTCTGAATTGGTTTCCATTGTTACGATTTCCAAAGATTCTCAATTATTGGCCTTATCGGTTGGATCGATAATGGCCATATGGAAATTTGATCAATCTTTTCAACAATCCAAAATCGTAACAACAAATCCGATTGCAAAAATAAAAAATGGAGGTAATCGAATAACTTGTCTGAAATTTAATCCAAAAAATCGAAATCAATTATGCTGTACTGATGATAAAGGATCATTAATGATATTGAAAATTCAAGATTGTAAAATTAGCAATAAATCGCAGTCATCAACAATTGTAAGCAAACCAGCACAAATCAAACCACAAACACAAGCGGTCGGACAAAAAACTATGGACGACATATTGGCTGATATGGATGATGCAGATTTTGATGATATCATCGATGTACCGGAAAAATCCAAACCTGTCAATCCAATCGTAGCAAGTTCTGATCGTTTTGGCAATTTGGATGATGCTCCAGATATAGATATTTCAATGAATCATGATGTTCCCGTTTCTCCTACCCCTGATATGGAACCTGATGAATTTGACATAAGTGCCATCAAATCGAAATATGAGCCGATAATTTTCGGTGATGATGACAACTTGAAACAAAAAAATGATGCCGAATCTCATTCAATAAGAGCAGGGAAATTAAATGTCGATTCGGAATTGATTATCGATGGTTATCGGATCACCGGATCAGATCTTGTTCAATTATCTCGAAATGCTCGGTCATATCAAGCGCCAATCAGACAAGCTCCATTTCAATCCGGTTCAACACCATTACATTTTCAAAATCGATTTATGGTTTGGAATTCTGTCGGAATCGTTTATGCCTACAATTCTGATGAAGAACGTTCAATTGATGTAGAATTTCATGATATAACATTCCATCATACGATACATATGGCCAACATGTTGAATTATACGATAGCTGATTTGTCGACCACTTGCTTATTATTGGCAAGTAATGGTGATGATCAAGAAGATGCAGCCGATCCATTGGACAATCAAAAAGCTCGAATGTATTGTATGCTTTTTAATACATGGGATGAAATGAAAGAATGGCAAGTTACATTACCGCATGAAGAACAATTTGATTGTATCACTGCTGGTCAGTCATTTGTTGCTGCCCTTACTAATCATCGATATCTACGTATTTGGACTACGGGTGGTGTACAAACAATGATTCGTTGCATTGATGGTCCATCAGTTAATCTATCTTCCTTTGATAATTATCTTATGGTTCTTTATCATCAGGCATCACAACATGCTCAAGATGGTCAATCGATTAGTTGTATTGTGTTGAAAGTTGATCATCGTCATCGAACTCGTGCTCATTTGATTCCTCAACCTGTACCTGTTGCTTTGTCACCAAAATCAACTGTATATTGGGCTGGTTTTACTGACGAAGGTACTCCTTGTGTTGTAGATTCCGATGGTATTGTTCGTGTGTACAAAAATCATTTCGGTTCTGGGTGGTTTCCAATCTGTGCCACAAAACAACAGGCTAATGGAAAATCTGACAATTTTTTCATCATCGGTTTAAGTGAAATTCAATCACAAATTCGTTGTATTTATTGTAAAGCTTGTCGTTATCCAGATACCGTTCCAAAACCCTCTCTTACCATATTATCTTTACAAATCCCATTATGTGAACTTGGTGATGATCTAACCGGTTCGGCTAAATCCAAACACGAAGAAGAATGTATTCGTAATCGATGGCTATGTTCATTATTGAAACGATTATCGTTAGATAATTATGACGTCGAAGATTCTTTGGATCAAGCAGAAAAACAAGTAATCAATTCGTTAATTAAATTATTTGCCATAGCATTGGGTGCTGAACGTGAATCATTGGCTTTGGAAATGGCAAAATTATTGCCCAATAGCCAAGCTTTGGAAGGTGCCGTACGTTATGCCGAACGACAACGACATCGAAGTTTAGCAATGAAATTAGTTGAAATGATTCAGGAAGGTGATGAAAATGATGACGCAGATGATGATCAAAATTCTGATGTCGAATTACAAGAGCTTATGTCGAAAAAGAATGCTGAAAGATTACGGCAGCTATTAAAAGATGATAACCGACATGATTCAACTAATTTGATATCATTGACAAAAATTGATCAATCAAACAATTCAAATTATACATCGTTGAAACCAAAATCATTGAAAAATTCTACTAAAAATCAAGAACGATCTGTACCGCTTACGATAGTTTCTGATGACGACAATGATGACAATGGTCAGAATATCGAGGAAGAGGAAGATGCTTTACGACCAAAAAAATTAGCACTTCCTTCTAATCAAAAAAATCCATTCAAAGTTCAAAATCATAATCGACCAAAAAACAACTTAAATTCAAATAAACGTAAACAGATTGAAGAATCTGATGATGATGATGACAATGTCAAAAATGATAAAACGAAAAAAATTACAAATTTTTTTACAAAAATATCTTCATAAAACAAATTTTCTATTTCAAAAATTCAAATTCATTCATCCCATTACCTTTATTTAAAAAAATATTACATTACACAATTTTAGCATAAATTTTTTTTTTCACAAAAATAAATTGTACAATTTTTTTTTCTTCAATCAAATTTTTTTTAAAAATAATCAATGAATATAATGGGTGGACAAAAAAACTTGAAATAAAAATTTAATCTTCATCATCGTCTTGATCATTTTTGTCCATTTCATAGTCTGAACGTTTTCTTTTTCTTTTCGACAATGATTTTCGCTCAACATCATCATCGTCAGCATCGGAATCTTCAATTTCATCCGTTAATTCATCTTCATCATTCGATTCATCGTCTTCATCATCATCATCATCATCTGATAGTTCGTCTATTTTCTTTTCAAATTCAATTTCATCCGTTTCTTCCATATCATTGATTAACATTTGATCATCGTCATCGTCATCATCATCCAAATCCGATGATTCATCATCCGAACTTTCAGATTCATATGTTAATTTCGGTTTTGTAAACGATAATTTTGTCGTGTCTTGTGTATCGTCCAGTTTAGTCTAGGAAAAAATTCACAAATATTAAAGTTTTTTACCTTTGCAAAAAAAAATTCATTTCAAATACCTGTGATAAAATTAAATCAAGACGACCTTTTAGCTGATAAAATTTTTCCAATGAGGCAGTTTTGGCTTGTATTAATTGTTTCAATGGAAGAAATTTTTCCGCACTGTTTGGCATCTATTTTTTTTGATAATAAAAATTATTTTTTAAAAAAAAATTTATCCAAATTAATTTACCGTCATCAGATATGAAAATCGATTCCTTAATAAAAATGTAATCCATTTTAAATAGATTGAATATTGTCCACCACCACCACCATCATCATCACCACTATTGGATACATTATCTTCTTTTTTCTGTTGACCAGAAATTAATCCTTTCTGTAATTGATTCAATAATTTTGGTACATGTTGAATGGGTAATTTTTTCACCGTATTCATTATTATCATGTCCGTATGATCAGTCTGCAAAACAGTTGATAACATTTTTGTATCATTCGATTGTAATCCCTGTACTAATACCGATACTAAACTTTCAGTACCGATTTGTTGTTGATTATTCTGAATATCTGAATCTCGTTTTTTCCGTTTCGATGAATCCTGTTTATCCAATGTAATTTCATTATTTGTTTCCATTAATTTGAGCTGTTCATCAAGTGTTAATTCAGATTTGTTGTTATTTGATTTTTTCAAATTATTACTTTTAATATTATTTATTTTATCTTTTTTATCATCATTAACATTTTGTTTATCGATTGAAGAACATTTGAGATCTTGTTCATCTTCGCTTAGCATTATTTCATCGTTGTTTTCTGTATCACCATCTCCATTGACACCATTGAATAATGGTTGGTGTGGTACCATCCCGGCTGGTCCTATCACTGTTGTACGATCAGAATGCTTGGCACTTTTAATTTTTGTATTATTTTCTTTTGATATTGAAACATTCTCCAATGATGGTCGTGGTAATAGCTCAATCGATTTTAATATGGATGGATCTTTGATGATTGTTGTCGTATTATTATTATTATTAGTGATCAATGTTAATGATGATGATTTTTGTTCTTGACATAATTTTTCACATTCAGAAATACTTAAACGTTCAAATATAGGACGATTCGGTGCACCGTATATGGTTTGAATATAGATTCGATTTTTATCTTTCAACTGCTGTTGATGATTATTTGTATTGCCATTAACCAATGATTTTCCAATTAATTGTTTTGAATCAAGATAAGCATACATGTAGGGAATTTGACGTTCAATTCTTGAACGTTTGTTTGATGGGATAAAATTTTTCTTATCATCACAACTTGTTTGAATGTTTAATCGATATTTCGGTGAAACTGGACCTTTGGTGTTCGAAGCTGATTCAATTGTTTCTTCAAACATATAAAAATGACCACTTTTAGATACGGATAAAATATAAAATGACTGTGAAAAAAATCAATGAAAATGGTTATTTATTATTAAGAATTATTTCATTATAACTTACATTATCAATTACGGTGTGAGCAATTTCAAGTGAAATTGGTTCATCATCGAGTAAAAAGCTTGCCAATGAATTGGATGCTTTATTCGTTTTTGATGGAGATTGTGATTGATCTAATTTCCTGTTTGAAAAAACATGTCATAGAATTAAAATTTGTCAATCAAAAATAATCGATTAAAACTTACCAAAGATTAATATAACGATCTGAAATTGCCGATGACAATAAATAAGCATCTTTTGTTGAACTATCTTTTGATGACAACCAAATTGGTCGTAAAAATCTTACTTCATTCGAATGTCCATTGAATGTTTTGAGCAATTGTTTTTTCGGCCAATTCCACCATTTTAATTGATTTGATCCAGTTATTAAATTTTCATTATCCAAAACACATATTGATGTTATCACCGAATTATGATCAAGAATTGTTTTACTAATAAAGATTGATAAAAAAAAGTAATATAAATAAAGTGAAAAACAAAACAAACAAAAATAATAATAATACCATTTAATTTTTGATTCAATTATAGACCATTCAATTATGAATTTATCTTGTGAACAGGAAAATAATGAATCCATCGATGATGACCAACATAGATCATTTATACGTTCAGTATGACCATCCATAGATTTTTTCGAATCATTCATTAAAATTGAATGTATTTCATTTTTATGAACACTGAATAAAAATATTGTTCCATTTTCGGTACCCATTGCTAATAATGTTAATTTTTTTAATTCATTCATAATATCATTCTGTTTTTTTGGTGTTCCCTATATTTTTTGGTTTCAATAAACAAATTCAGAAATCATTAACGAAAAAATGATTATTTTCATTTACAAAATACTAACATTAATTTGATTATTTATCGTACTATGATGATGATCTGGTGGCCAACAAATTTTCGTACAATTTGCCGATAAATGTTTAGATGGTATATATTGTGCCACCAGATTTGCTGTAATTGTATCCCAAACATTTAATTGTCCAGCTAATGTAGCTAAAGCAAAATAACGTCCACATGATGATATTGACATTGGTCGCATATTCATTAAACATTCATCACCAATAACATTAATCTGTCCATTATTATTAGTCATTTTTGTTTCTTTAATTTAAAATTATGTTCACAAGATAATTTTCAGAATAATTTTTTAAAAAAAGGAAGAAACAAAAAATATTTCAATTCAAATTATAATCAATCAGGAAATGTGTAAAAAATAAAACAAAAAAAAATAACATGCGGATCACAAAAAAAAAACCAACCAACAGGCAGCATGTGAGGAATCATCAATATCGTATGCGAGCTCATCACATACACACCACGCACACATACATCCAGCAATACACTTGATATATATCTTTTTACTTTGGCTTTACAAAGATCTCTGCATAAATGCACGCGGCATGTATCTTTTTTTTTTGGAACGATATCTATGAATAGTTTTGGATTTCCCTTTTTTTATTCACTCTCTCTCCCCCCAACAAACATTCTTTCTTTCTCACTGCTGTTTATGTTATGTTGTTTATTTTTATTTTTTTTTTTGGATTATGATCAGGTAGCTCGATGACAACAACAACATCATATTCTATTGATTATTTTCTTTTTCATTTGTTTCCAAAAACAATATTCATTCTACGATTCTATTATTTGTGTCAATGAATTTTTTTGATTCATAAAAAAAAACAATGCCACAAGGAAGACGTAAAATACCGTTTTCAAATAAACAGAAAAAAGCGCAACTACAAGCAAAACGAGATAAAAAAAATCGTCAATTATCAACAACACAATTACGACGACCATTTGTTAGTGATGATGGTGATATTGAAGATGAATTGGATGATGAAACTTTAGGCGTAATCGATGTCAATGATCATTTAAACCCAAATCAAATATCGGGTACCAGCAGCAGTAATAATAATGTTGAATCCAATACATCAACGTCGACTGACAATATGACAGATCCGAAATTTCTTTTAAACAAAATTCATTCGATAAATGCACAACGACATTTAAGTTTGACAAGTGATGTCAATCGTTATGCATTACAATTTTTCAATGAAACTGATCAGGAAATACGTGAACGCAAAGAACGTGCACAAAGACCCTTACCACCATTAGATGAATCAAAAGCATTAGTTTGTTCGGTCGAAGATATGTTTGGTGAACAATCATCATTATCAAATGATATTCCTGTTACGGATTTGGATATGCCTAAAAGACCACCATGGTCACCAACAATGACAGCAGAAGAATTATATCGTAAAGAAAATGATTATTTCTTAACATATTTGATGGAAATATTTTCCAAAAGTCGTTCACCGGATAAACCATTAAGCTATTTTGATATGAATCTTGAAACATGGCGTCAATTATGGCGAGTAATTGAAATGTCTGATATTATTCTATTGGTTGCCGATATTCGTCATCCTATTTTTCATTTTCCACCATCATTATATCATTATGTTGTCGATGAACTCGGTAAAGATATGATACTCGTATTGAACAAAATTGATTTAGTCGATGCCGAATTAGTGCTTGCCTGGCATGAATATCTGAAAAATCGTTTCCCAAGGCTGAATATTTTAGAATTTGCTTCATATGCTGGAATGAAAGTTCGTGCATCATCTGGCAAACGAGTAGGAAAACTTCGAATGGCTGTTCGCGGTGCATTAGCATTGCAAGAAATGGTAGCCGAAATTGTTGGTGATCAAGCCGATCTAAGTTCATGGCGACAAAAAATCGAATCCGAACTAAATGAATGTGAAAATGTTTCATTGGATGACGATTCTTCATATTATGAATCGGAAGATGATGACGATGATGGTAAACATTATGGAAAAAAGAATCAAGGTGCAAAAAAAGCTGGCGTAGAAAAATTAGCTGGAACTATCGTAATGGAAAAAGCAGATAGTTCGTTTTATAGACAAGAACATCGATTCAAAGACGGTATTGTCACAATCGGTTGTGTTGGTCATCCGAATGTAGGAAAATCATCGTTAATGAATGCTCTTTATGGCAAAAAAGTTGTCAGCGTCTCACGAACACCGGGTCATACTAAACATTTTCAAACGATATTTCTCACCGATAAGGTACGACTCTGTGATTGTCCCGGTTTAGTTTTTCCATCACGTGCACCAAAAGAACTTCAAGTTTTAATGGGTTGTTATCCAATTTCACAATTACGTGAACCTTATACAGCTGTAGGTTATCTGGCTCAACGTATTAATCTTGTACGTTTATTACGTCTGCAACATCCTGAAGGTGATACTGAAAATATTTGGTCAGCATATGACATATGTGAAGGTTGGGCCGAAAAACGTGGTTTCCGTACTGCCCGAACAAATCGACCTGATATATATCGTGCCGCTAACAGTCTACTTCGAATCGCATTGGATGGTCGTACAATTTGTCTGGCATTTCAACCGACTATCTATCAAGAACGTGGTAAAGATTATTGGTCATCACATCCGGATAAGAAAAAAATTGAAGCCATACAAAATCTAAAATTTGTTGTTGAAGAACAATATAATAAAAATCTAAATCGTGGTACACATGGACAAGGTTATGTTGATAGTCATGCATCAAGTGTTGAAGCCGATGTTGATGATGATGATGATTCAGGTGATATCATTTCAACATCAAGTAAATTTGTTCTACTTGAAGTTGATGATGTTGAAGCTGATTGAAAATAATATTTCATGATCGAAATTTTTTTCTTATTTACATATTAAAAAAAATTAAAAATTGTAGATTTCCATTTAAATAAATAAAGAAAATAAAAATTTCGAATATAACAATATTTATGTGTATACATATTCTATATTTAGATTACTATTTATACTTCCTGATTATAATTTAATCTATGATAATGATGATATGGATAGTCAAAATAGCCATATTGAAGAAAGAAATTGAAAAATAAATAAATAATTTTGTTTCAATCTTATCAAATAAACAATGAATCTAAATATTTTTTGAGTGATATTGATTGATAATTAAATCATATCATTTTATAATGATAATAATAAAATGTTTGTTTGTTTTTTTTGTTTTTTGGATATCTCGATTTATCATTCGAACGATATGTTTTTTATATTGAGTGTTGCTCGATAATTGATGATAGGTATTTTTATTTTTGTTTTTGTTTTCATTTGATTTTATGATTTATAGTTTTTTTCCGAGTCTCTCTTTTTCCTCCATAGATTAGCAAGGTTGATTAGCAACGAAAAAATTGATAAAAATTTATCCATCAAAAATAATCATCATCGTTGTTGTCGTCGTCGTGTCATTGTCGTTTTTTACAAATTAATCGGGGTTTGGTTTTCACATCATCATCATCATCATCATCATGTAAAAGTTAATTTACTTTGTTTTAAAATTATTCTTTTTTTTGATTCAGGTTGATTATCTATTTTTTCCAATAACGATGATAATAATTCAAACAATTTTAATCAATTTTTTCATCATTATTGTTACCTGTTATGATAATGATATTGATGAAAAATTTCCAATAAAAAATGATCGTGTTGTTATTGGTGTTTTGGCACAATATCCATATCAAGATGAACATCAATTTATAGTGGCTAGTTATGTAAAATTTTTAGAAAGTTCTGGTGCACGTGTGGTAAGAATTATTTGTTTGAATTGAAATAGAAATTATCTGTGATTTTTTTTTTTGTTCAAATTGGCAGGTACCAGTATTTTGTGGTCGTAAATCAGATTATTATGAAACATTATTACCAAAATTAAATGGAATTTTATTACCGGGTGGTGGTAGTCCATTAGATAAAGGACCATATGCTGAAACAGTTGATTTAATTATTGAAACAAGTAAAAAATTTTATGATGAAGGAAAATATTTTCCCATTTGGGCTACTTGTTTAAGTTTTGAAAAATTGATTGTTCATTTTTTGAATGGTGATTTACAATGGAAATCAATGTGTCATGCACAGAATATTGCATTGAATTTAGAGATTGAAAAATCAGTGATTGACAATCCAAAATCTGTACGTATGTTTCGTGATATGGATCTAATGATGCCGAATATTTTTGATGTAAGTTATTTTTGTTGTTAAGCTAATAATTTGATAACAAATAAAAATTGTTAATCAATAGATTCTTCAAAATAATAACGTAACTCCTAATTATCATAGAGTATGTTTAGAATTGGATGAATGGAATAAACATCAAGAATTGAAAGAAAATTTTCAAATTATCGGCCATAATTTATATAAAAATTATACATTTGTATCAATGATTGAACATAAAAAATATCCAATCTATGCATCAATATGGCATCCGGAAAAAATTCCATATGAATTTGTCATTAATGAACATATGGGAAATTTTAATCATTATCTAAAGGCTATAATGGTTTCACAATATTTTGGTAATTTTTTTGTTAATGAAGCACGTCGTAGTTGTGGAAAATTTGATAATAAATTAGATGAAAGTCAACATTTGATTTATAATTATAATGAATATCGTAAATATACTGGTAATGATGGTAAATCATCATATGAAGAAACATTTATATTTCCAACCAATGTAAATAATGGATCATCATCATTATCAACATTAACAAAAGGTTCGATTTTGGTTCGAATCATATTTATAATTATACAATTTTTTATCTATTTTAATTTGAAATTTGTATAAAATTAGGTTATTATAATGATAATTATTTTAAATATCGATTATTATAATGGAACAACAACAACGAAAAATTATTGAATAATTTTGTTTAAAATTAATAAAAAAAAAATCCTTTTGTTTATTTTTACATCACATTAATATCGATTTGATAATTTGATTTTATTAAAAAAAACCATGTGAACATGTGAGATTGAACCATGAATATTTGAGAAAAAAAATTGTGGTGGTAAACCTTGAATCATGTTGTTGTTGTTTTTGCTCAACGATAATTACAACCTAAAAATATGCATTTCCTTCGTCAGTTTTATGAATGAAAATTTCACTTTTTTTTACTATTGACGGAAATGAAAATATAAAGTTTTTGGTTTTGTTTTTAGTGGAAATTTCATAAAAGGAAAAACATTTAAAGCAACCATTCAAGGTCAAGACGTTGATAATCCAACTAAAGAGATTCGAACAAAACAAACAAACACAGGAAAAGTTTCCCAAAACACGTGGCCATTACAATTTCATTTAGATCAATTTTTTTTTTGAAGGGGAAACGGAAAGTTACCAATATGATATAGTTTTGATTACTACTTTTGTTGTTGTTGCTGCTGCTGCTATGTAAAATGGAAATTGATGAATTATTTCAGTGAAAAAAAATATATCATGCATGAAATGTATTTGCTTCCATACAACTATGACGACGACCACAACCACTACAATTTCGACAGGATCTTGACCATTCGGATACCGTCAAAAATTTTCTCCTTTATACCAAAAAAACAAAAAGATTTTATTATTTTTTGTTTCTGTATATAAAGCGAAATCCATTTTTGGATATATCCAGATCAACAAAGATCATTTCAAATAACGACGATAAAAGTTTTGTTTTAACTTGTTCTTTCTTTCTTTTGTTTATTTCTTTGTGTGTGTATATGTGAATATTTGAATGTTTCTGTGTTGATTGAAAAGCAAAAACAAAAATAAATAACAAAAAACAAAAATGAAATTTCAATTGGTATGATAAATTAATTAATTAATTTTCTCATAATAAATCTTTTACAATGATAATTTTATTTCTAATTTTAGATTGTTTTAGGTATTGCCTTAATCGCCTGTACTGTTATGTCACAGGAAATGGAAGATAATCTGATTGCTGATGCATCGGAAATGGATCTAGCTGTTGCTGAATCTGCAGGCGCTGGCGCTGTAGCAGGTGGTGCAGCTGGAGCTGGAGCTAAAGGTGCTAAAGCTGGTGCTGCTGGTTTTAAAGCAGGCGCTAAAGCTGGTGCTGTTGCTGGTGCTAAAGGTGGTAAAAAAGGAGCATTTGCTGCTGGTGCTGCAGGTGGAGCAGCTGGTGTGAAAAAAGGTGGTAAAGCTGGTGCCGCTGGTGCTGCTTTTGCCAAAGGTGCTAAATTCGGTAAAGCTGGCAAATTCGGTAAAGTTGGTGGTGCAGGTTTCAACAAGAAATTCGGAGCCATCAAAACTTTCGGCATGGCTCAAGGTTTCAAATTCGGTAAAGCTGGTGGTGCTTTTGCAGCAGGTGGAGCAGCTGGTGCTAAAGGAGCTAAAGGTGGTAAATTTGCCGCTGGTGGTGTTGTTGCTGGCAAAAAAGGTGGCAAGAAAGGAGCTAAAGGTGCTGCCGCTGCCGGTTTTGCCAAAGGTGGCAAAAAAGGTGGTGTTGCTGGCAAAGTTGCTGGTAAGTTTTTACAAACATCCGAACTGGAAAAATTAGAAAAATATTCAAATTCTAAATTATATATTTTTAATTCTTAATAGGTGCCAAAGCTGGTGCAGCTGGAGCAAAAGGAGCATTCAAAAAAGGTTTTGCCAAAGGTGGCAAAGGAATTGGCAAATAATTCTCAAATTATGGAATCATTTTTTGAGCTTTTTATTTTCGCTGTTCATATTTTCTGTATTCATTCATCAATTTGGCAAGCAAAAACAAAACAAAACAAAACGATAATTAAAATTTAGTGTTCAAAAAAACAAATTTAATATAGATAGTTCATCGATTCAAAAATTGTAATTTAAATTTTTCTGAATTTATAAAAAAAAAGACAAACAAAAGACAAATGGCTCAAAATAAAATAAAATTGAGTTTTTTTCAGTTCAAAAAATCCGAATTGATTAATTTTTCTTTTCAACATTGGTGGAATCATCATTCTGTGTCTTTGGTTGTGGTTGAAGTTCTTGTTGTTGTTGTTGCGGTGTTTGTGGTTTTTCTTGTTGTTGTTGTGGCGTTTGCGGTTGTTGTTGTTGTTGTTGCGGTGTTTGTGGTTGTTGTTGTTGTAATTGTAATTCTGGTTCTTGTAATATTTGTTGTTTTGCTTCATCAGTTATCAATGTTGAATCTTTTCCGCTACAAAAATTACGAAAACGACGACAATTTGCATCACAATTCAAAACAACATAACCAACCAATAACATTGATAAAATGAATAAACCAATTGCATATGGTATAATAACATAAGGTGTTACATCGGTTTTATCCGATTTTTTTGTTGAATTTGAATTATTAACATTCTTTATTTGTTCATAATTAACGGTAATTAGATTATAATTATTATTCGATAATAATGATTGACAGCCAAGTATATTACCATCATAAACATCATTTTGACAAAGATCAAATTTACTAACACCAATCGAATCAATCATACAGATTTGATTTTTATGATTAAAACTAATATATTTGTTTGGTAATGTAATCAATTGATTTAGATGATTTAAACCACCAGAAAATGTACGATTTAATGATAAAAATATTAAACGTTTTTGTTGTTGTTGATTATCATCATAATTAATAAGATAAACATTATGAACAGAATCGAATGCTAAACCAATTGCCATTGGATATTGTTCCTGATCAATTCGGGTTAATTGTGTTAAGCCATAAATTTCAAAATCTAATTTAATTGTTATCGATGATGTTGTTCGACAATTTGTTCGATTACATATTATTACATCATTTAAAATTGTTGAATAAAGAACATATGTTTCATTATTCATACTAATCAAACCATATGGTAATGGTTTATATGGACCAGATAGAATTCTATTTGTTGCATCATTAATATTATAATAATCATACATTTCATATAAACGTATAGTACCGTTTGATAAACTTTCCCAAACAATAATCTGTATCAATTTATTATCATAACAAACATAATCTATACCATTTACAAATGAATAATGTTGTTGTTGTTGTTGAATAATGATGATGAACAGAAAAACTATCGAAACAAAGTATGACCAATTACAATGAAAATAAATCATACTTTAAATTTCAATCACAAAAAAAAACAAACAAAAAATTTAAACAAATTTTCAACGAATAAATCTGAATTTTTATTCATTCAGAATTTTAATTACAAAAATATTTTTTGTTTTTAATTTAATTATCGAAATTTTAAAATTATTATTATGGCCAAATAATTATCGAACATTAAATGATGATGATGGCCAAATTGAAATTAAGTTAAATAATGCAAAAAAATTATTTCCCAATTCCTCCACCACCTTTTTTGCCACCTTTTTTGAATGCAGCTTTTGCACCAGCTGCAGCACCTTTTTTGCCTTTTGTAAAAAAATGGTTAATTGATATCCATTCATTGAACGAAATCATATCAATTATTACTTACCAGCAATTTTACCGACAGCACCACCTTTTTTACCACCTTTAACGAAACCAGCAGCTCCTGCCTTTTTAACACCTTTTTTGCCACCTTTCTTTCCGGCCACCAAACCACCAGCAGCAAATTTACCACCTTTTTTGCCTTTGGCACCAACAGCTTTACCAGCGGCAAATGCACCACCAGCTTTACCGAATTTGAAACCTTGAGCCATGCCGAAAGTTTTGATCGTTCCGAATTTCTTATTGAAACCAGCACCACCAACTTTACCGAATTTGCCAGCTTTACCGAATTTAGCACCTTTGGCAAAAGCAGCACCAGCGGCACCAGCTTTACCACCTTTTTTCACACCTGCAGCTCCACCGGCAGCACCAGCAGCGAATGCT